CTGCTCAGCCATGATTTGATTAAATGTGAAGATGAATTTTAATTAAAATCTTTGCGCAACAGCAACTTCGAAGCAACCACCCCTTATCCACTTCAGAGCCCACGGCTGTGCGTACAATTTTGACACTCAACTCGCCGGCCAAAGGGGTTCGGGTCTTAATAGAGCGATAAAGCCGCAAGTTCATGGCAAGGATGGCAGGTCCTTTGTGGGCATAGTCATTGTGTCATGGCATTCGGCATTTAATTTATGCAAAATGAAAATTAAAGAGCGCTCTGCCGAAAAACTTTTCCGTAATGTTTGGCGCATATTTATGCAAATGACTGTCTAAATGAATTTTCAAAACTACTTACGAGCAATTTGCCAGCAGCCTCGGCTATCAATTTCAATTAAAGACAAGAACTTTAAGGCATGTCGACAACTCACAGCACAGCCCCATCAAATACTTAGCAAATAATTTTACATAATTTAACAGCAAATTGCAAACAATGCCGCTTTATCTTTTGTCAATGCAAATACAGAGAGCGCCACAACTTTTGCCAAAGTTTTTGAAAAACAAAAAACCCAAAAAGCAAATGCCAAAATAAAAACACGGCCATACTCCAAAGTGCACACACACACACACACACACATTTGCTGGCAGTCACGTGCAGTACAAGATGCTTCAGTGTAGCGTATGACTGACTATAGGTTATCCTATAAAAAGAACTTAATATGTATTTATTATGTTTATATTACAAGATCTCATATCTGAATTTCTAAAATTTTTCTGATATCCAAATATTCTGAATGAATGAAGCGTAGTTTAGCTAGTTCATAGCTAAAATCCATTTGAGTAGCCGCAAATTAATCGATTTATCAAATTCGCTCTAACTGTGTACCGTTGGCTATACTAAAATTCCGCTTGCGGCTAGAGCTTTTACTTCTATAACAAATCGTAGCCAATTAAAACCAGACCATCATATAATAATATATAAAACTATAATATAAATATTGATCGATTTATAGGCACCTCGTCATACCTTTTTCAAACCTGAAGCATTTTTTTTAACTGAAGCTTTTTAAGTCTTCGATTTCGATGACACAACATTTATCGAACAACAAATTAATCGACTTATCGACTCCTCTCTATCAAAATACCGTTTCCCACGCTAAAGCTGAGCTTTCACAAAACATATCAAATTTTCAGTTATAGCTTCTGCTGTTTTCGTTACAGGGTATCAAAACTTTTCCGCACTGTGGCTTAGCGGGGGCATGAAGGGAATTGACTGTCGCGTCCAATGGGCCATTCAAAATTACGAGCCAACAGTTTCCGCAGTGTTTTTTGTCATTTCCATGCGCTCATTGTCAGTTTTAAGTAAGCAACTTTTTCTCTATTCTCGTTGTTGTTCCTGTTTCTCCTGTTTGTCCTGTTATTGGTCTCGTTGTTGTTGTTGCTTTTGCAGCAGCCGGCAAAAGTTGTTGGCCAAAACTGCCTACAAATGCAGACAAATGTGGAAAAACGCATGAAATGCAATAAATTTTCAAATATATTTTGTGTGCGCAGCAGAAAAGCGGAAATTCTTTTTTATTATTTTACCCTTTGAAAGGATGTATGAACTTGCTTTGTCGGTTTATATGACACTACCTACTGCATGCATCAAGTTTTAAGCTCGGTCTGTTTATAGAGTTTTTTTTTTTCAATTCTTCTTTAACACGCTCATCCGTAAACGTTGTCAGTCTTTTGGGAGGCAATCTTTTGTAGTTCTGCTTAATGTTTGAATATTTATTCTTATATTTATAGCTTCCTAATCTTTTGAGAGCCTTTTGATCTATCAATTCTTCTTTATCCCGCTCTTTCGTAAACGTTTTTGCTTAGTGGGACAGTCTTAAGAAGTTCTCCCTTATATGTCCGACTAAATTCAATTTAAGGATGCATTTTAAAGGGTATAAAAGTTGCGATAGTCTGCCTAAGACCTGCATATCGTGTTGTTCCTTTAACATAGACTAGTTTTCATTGTTTTGACTGGCAGAGTTTTTGCTTGGTGCAGTGCACAGCAAGTCAAAGCGATAAACTGATAAAGCTTCATTCTGCAAGCGATCAAAACCAAAAATGACCGCAGCCAAAGACAATATATAAATCAATTGTTTATTACGCAAGGCGAGTGACAAATTTACGACATAAATTGAAAGCGGGCAATAAAAATAGACAAAGTCGCAAACAAGACGCGTGACTTGCATCCTGCCACTCAAATCGAACTCCTTGTATATTAAAATTTTAATGCCAAATAAAGGATAGCTAGATAATTAACATAGATACTTGCACAGATAAATTGTATGCATTTTTATCTAGAGAGAAAATACAAATATAGCTAAAATTGGGCATTTCCCAAGGCAGTCAATGGAAAGTTCTTATCTTCTTCCATAGACAACAAACGTCTAGCCATATACCCTTTAAAGCTAAACAACCAGGGTATATTAGGCTCTAAAGAATATAGCTCAAATGCTTTGAACTATATAAATAATATTTCCATTACATCTGAACCCTTCCCTGCTGTATATCGAGCGCGTAGAGGGTATCTCTTGGCCGTGCAGTGCTGAGTTACGCAAGATCGCCCTGCGGTTTACTTATTAGTTATCAATGAACATTTTGTAGATTTCATTTAAAATTTTGTAAACAGTCAACTGTCATCTATCGTGTGTATTGTAAATTTTGAGAGATTTTCCAATGAACTTAGTCAAGCGCTTGACACACACAAGCCGAACGCTCACACTGATAAGACTGATAAGATTTTTCTGATCACACTTTTTTATCAATCGCTGGCATTGCGCATACGTCAAGTGCTGCGCACACCGGCTACTATATAAAGAACACAGCTGAGGCTCAGCAATTTATTAGGCGCTTTGAGCCGGAACGGAACAGAGCCAAATACAAAATCAAAAATGTTTCTAAAAACTTGCCTGCTGCTGCTGCTCTGCGGCGTCATCGCTCTGTCCGCCCATGACTACGATGGGTGAGTGGAGCTGGTCTTCGTGGATTGTCCATTGTGCGTCAGCTTATGTCCAGTTAATTTCCAATTTGCAGCTACAAGATTTACGACATCAAGGCGGACAACAGCTTCAAGAAGGAGCTGCTGCTGCATATTGCCAAAAATACGGAGTATGACTTCTTCAATATGCCACGCGCCTTGGATGCTGCCACACGGGTCATGGTGCAGCCCAAGGATCAGGCGGGCTTTGAGCTGCTGCTGAACGGTTTCGCATTGGAGTATACGGTGGTGGAGGAGAACTTGGGCAACACGTTGCAAAAGGAGCAGTTGGAGAACCAGAGCCAGCGTCTCGTGGCCCAGCGTAATGCTGTGCGCAGCATCAGCTTCACGGCGTTCCATCGTCATGCGGAGATCAATGCCTATTTGGATGAGCTGGCCAAGGCCTATCCCAGCCGTGTTACAGTGCAGACTGCTGGCAAATCCTACGAGGATCGCGACTTGAAGACCATCACCATCTCCAATGGCGATGGTAAGAGCGGCAAGAATGTGATCTTCCTGGACGCGGGCATTCATGCGCGCGAGTGGATTGCACCAGCGGGCGCACTCTATGTCATCTATCAGCTGGTGGAGAACTTTGTGTCCAATGCCGATCTGTTGAAGAACTACGATTGGGTCATTCTGCCCGTGGTCAATCCCGATGGCTATGAGTACACGCACACCAACTCGCGCATGTGGCGCAAGACGCGCAAGCCCGCGGGCAGCTCCTGCTATGGCACCGATGCCAATCGCAACTTTGACTTCCACTGGGGCGAGGTGGGCGCCTCCAGCTACTCCTGCGCCGATACCTTCAAGGGCACGACAGCCTTCTCTGAGCCCGAAACGAAAATCGTGCGCGACCTGCTGCTCGGCCTTTTGGGCCGCGGCAAGTTCTACCTGACGCTGCACTCGTATGGCAACTACCTGCTCTATCCATGGGGCTGGACATCGTGAGTAAGCCAAGCTGTTTGAGTAAACCAAGCTAACTGCTCCATTGCTTGATTTCAGCGATTTGCCTAGTGACTGGCGTGCCCACGATGAGGTGGCCCAAGCGGGTGCCGCTGCCATCAAGAAATCCACCGGCACCGAATACACAGTGGGTAGCTCCACGAATGTGCTCTATGCCGCCGCCGGTGGCAGCGATGATTACGCATTCGGCGTGGCCGGATTCCCCGTCTCCGTTACCATGGAACTGCCCGCTGGCGGCACTGGCTTCGATCCCACCACTGCCCAAATTCTGCCATATGTCACCGAAACCTGGACTGGCATTCGTGCCATGGCACAAAAGGTCATTGAAAAATACTAAAGCTGAATGTTGCAAAAATAAAACAACGATATTTTATACACGAAATTAAATGTGTGTGTGTGCCTCTGTGTCTGGCGTTCCATTTCCGTTGCCCACGATAAGTGCCCACCCATGGAGCGTGGCAGCATTCAGAGCGCAGCCCCAACAATGACACACTTGGCCAATTTGGCTCAAAGACCTGCTGTGTTGCATGCCAACACTTCAAGTTATCGTCGCCAATTAACTGGGCTCATAGACTCCACTCCCACAGTAGCATTTCGCACTTGTTAAGTATTGCTCTGAGCACCTTGAAAAATCGACTTTTCTATATAATTGTAATCGCACAATTTATTTTGTTTACTCGTTTGATTTGAGTTTTTTTTTAGCTACCTGATTTTTCTAGTTAAGCTAGTCGGGAGTGACCGACTAGTAGTTGCCCTGTATCTTATATCTAGCTAGCTTTACCAACGTCTTGAATTCCTGTTATTGAAATAACATTCATAATAAAAAGAGAAAATTAATCTGTTTTCTTAGTTCTCTAAAACTAGAAATCGGTTGCCCTATATACCATTTATTTCCAAAGTTATTACGGGTTTGAACCAGGGACTTTCCCTTTAACAGCTCTAACCGCAAAGTCATTTAGATAAAAATTTCTAAAGATATATTTTTGAATGAAGCTGTTCAACAACTTAGTATATTGCTTGTGGAAAAGAATTTATAGACTTAAATACTCGTTAGGTTACCCTAGGAGGGTTTTCCAATTTATTATACATTTAAAGATGGGGCTTTAGTTGAGTGGATACTTTTCAATCACCTTACGGGCCATGGCTTCGATGCCCACCCAGGTTTCCTTAACAAGCCTATCAATATCTGACGCAGGTGGATCAAAAAAATTGGCTCCACCAGCTGGCAGCTCCATGGTAAATGATATAGGAAAGCCCGCATTAAATGCATAATCATCGCTAGCGCCGGCGGCTGCATACAACAAGGTGGTGGAGCAGCCCACCTGGTAAACGGTGCCGGTTGCCTTCTCTATGGCATCACCACCAGCGCGTCCAACCTCATCCAGATCCTCCCAAGTTTCTGGCAGTTCACTGGAATATTCAACATTTTAGTAAAGGCAAGAGTCGAAGGAATTGTGGCCACCCACTCGATATAGCCCCAAGGGTACAGGATATAGTTTCCATAGGAGTGCACTGTCAGATACAGTTTGCCACGATCCGCCAGACTGTGTATGAGATCACGCACCACAATTGCCTCCGGCTCGGAGAACGCCCTTGGTCCCGCATAGGTCTCAGCGCAGGGATCCGAAGAAGCGCCAGTTTCATTCCAATGAAAACCAAAATTCCGATTGGGATCAGTGCCGATGCACTCGACGCTGCTCGGCTGGCGTGTTTTGCGCCAAAAACGCGTATCCTCCGACAGCTGTGTGTACTCATAGCCATCGGCATTGACCACGGGCAGAATGACCCAGTCGTAGTCCAGCAACAGCTGGGCATGCGCCTCATAGTTGTTCACCAGCTCACCAATGGCATAGACGACGGCAGCCGGTGAGATCCATTCACGTGCATGGAAGCCACCATCCATGAGTATAACATTCTTATTGGCCCGCCCATCCCCATTGGTTATCCGTATGGTCTTCAGCCAGCGGCCCTCAAAGCTTTTGCCCACCGTCTTGATAAACACCCGACTCGGATGTTCCTGGGCGAGCTGCTCAATATATTGATTAATCTCTCCCTGGGTATAGTAACGCTCGGTGCCCAGGCGTCCCTGGTAGGGATACCAATTGCGCAGCATGCGATTCGTTTCGAATTGGCGGCGCAGCGTAAGGCCCACATCATGATTAACAATCTTATAGCTCAGCGTGTGGCCGGTAAGCAATTCAATAAACTCCGGCTGCGCCTCAGGATGCACCATGATGTGGGCAGCTGCACCATTGTCCGAGTACAGATCATAGTATGACTCATTCTTAACCAGCTCAGACAAGAGTAAATTGACGGCAGCGCTGCGACTCTTTGTTGCCAGCTCATAGATCTTAAATCTGTTGTTCGGTTAGTTAAGCACTCGAAACATCTTTCCAGCTCCAACCACTCACCCATCATAGACGCCACCCTCAACGTGGCTGAGCGCTAGGCCGAGCCAAAACACAGCGAAACACAATATTTTCATCTTTACACGTTGCCGACACGAACAAAACTGGCTGGGTATCAAAATGATCAAGCTCACGAATTCTAATCAGAGTACCTTATCAGTTAAGAATTGCGTAAAAGTTTAAAAACCCACCCAAAGTAATCAAGAAATTGGTTGTAAAATCATAAAAATCGGCGTTATGCGTTGATAGGTCATTTTGCAACTAGTCTAAGCCCTAGGAGAGCGCTATTTTTGTTATATTTTATCTAGAATTTCTACTATACTAAGGCTCGCAAAATACACTGCTATAAATGATAACAACTTTATTGAAAAGCCATTCATATTAGTAAAATATATATTCGAATGTATATATATTGATATAAAACAGTTTTTCTTGACTCAAACCTTGTGCAAATCTGATGAGATTTGACCGAGTTATGGGGGTGGTCAATGTTGACCTATGTCTATATAGTATAGATGTAGACATAGGTCGAAATTTCAATCGATTTTCATAAGGTTAGGCTTTTTGTGAATGGTTTGGCCTCAAGTTCGAGTTGGCATCTAAATCTTGCAACATTATTTTTGATCAAAATTCATGTAAGAATTGAACCCTTAAATATCCTATATAGACATAGGTAGAAATTTCCCACACCCATAACTCCGCCAAAACTCATCCGATTTTCACGAGGTTTGAGTTTTTGTTCATGGTTTGGCCCTTAGAAAAATATGGCATCAAAAGCTGGACACATAATTTTTGGTCAAAATTCATGTATAAATAGTACCCTGAATTATCCTACATAGACATAGGTCAAAACTTCCCACCCCCATAACTCCGTCAAAACTCATCCGATTTCCACGAGGTTTGATTTTTTGTGCATGGTTTGGCCCTTAGAAAAATATGGCATCAAAAGCTGGACACATAATTTTTGGTCAAAATACATGTAAAAATAGTAACCTGAATTATCCTACATAGACATAGGTCAAAACTTCCCACCCCCATAACTCCGTTAAAACTCATCCTATTTTCACGAGGTTTGAGTTTTTGTTCATGGTTTGGCCCTTAGAAAAATATGGCATCAAAAGCTGGACAGATAATTTTTGGTCAAAATTCATGTAAAAATAGTACCCTGAATTATCCTACATAGACATAGGTCAAAACTTCCCACCCCCATAACTACGTCAAAACTCATCCGATTTTCACGAGGTTTGAGTTTTTGTTCATGGTTTGGCCCTTAGAAAAATATGGCATCAAAAGCTGGACACATAATTTTTGGTCAAAATTCATGTAAAAATAGTACCCTGAATTATCCTACATAAACATAGGTCAAAACTTCCCACCCCCATAACTCCGTCAAAACTCATCCGATTTTCACGAGGTTTGAGTTTTTGTTCATGGTTTGGCCCTTAGAAAAATATGGCATCAAAAGCTGGACACATAATTTTTGGTCAAAATTCATGTAAAAATAGTACCCTGAATTATCCTACATAGACATAGGTCAAACCTTCCCACCCCCATAACTACGTCAAAACTCATCCGATTTTTACGAGGTTTGAGTTGTTGTTCATGGTTTGGCCCTTAGAAAAATATGGCATCAAAAGCTGGACACATAATTTTTGGTCAAAATTCATGTAAAAATAGTACCCTGAATTATCCTACATAGACATAGGTCAAAACTTCCCACCCCCATAACTCCGTCAAAACTCATCCGATTTCCACGAGGTTTGATTTTTTGTGCATGGTTTGGCCCTTAGAAAAATATGGCATCAAAAGCTGGACACATAATTTTTGGTCAAAATACATGTAAAAATAGTAACCTGAATTATCCTACATAGACATAGGTCAAAACTTCCCACCCCCATAACTCCGTTAAAACTCATCCTATTTTCACGAGGTTTGAGTTTTTGTTCATGGTTTGGCCCTTAGAAAAATATGGCATCAAAAGCTGGACACATAATTTTTGTTCGAAATTCATGTCAAAATAGTACCCTGAATTATCCTACATAGACATAGGTCAAAATTTCCCACCCCCATAACTCCGTCAAAACTCATCCGATTTTCACGAGGTTTGAGTTTTTGTTCATGGTTTGGCCCTTAGAAAAATATGGCATCAAAAGCTGGACACATAATTTTTGGTCAAAATTCATGTAAAAATAATACCCTGAATTATCCTACATAGACATAGGTCAAAACTTCCCACCCCCATAACTCCGTCAAAACTCATCCGATTTTCACGAGGTTTGAGTTTTTGTTCATGGTTTGTCCCTTAGAAAAATATGGCATCAAAAGCTGGACACATAATTTTTGGTCAAAATTCATGTAAAAATAGTACCCTGAATTATCCTACATAGACATAGGTCAAAACTTCCCACCCCCATAACTCCGTCAAAACTCATCCGATTTCCACGAGGTTTGAGTTTTTGTTCATGGTTTGGCCCTTAGAAAAATATGGCATCAAAAGCTGGACACATAATTTTTGGTCAAAATTCATGTAAAAATAATACCCTGAATTATCCTACATAGACATAGGTCAAAACTTCCCACCCCCATAACTCCGTCAAAACTCATCCGATTTTCACGAGGTTTGAGTTTTTGTTCATGGTTTGGCCCTTAGAAAAATATGGCATCAAAAGCTGGACACATAATTTTTGGTCAAAATTCATGTAAAAATACCACCCTGAATTATCCTACATAGACATAGGTCAAAATTTCCCACCCCCATAACTCCGTCAAAACTCATCCGATTTTCACGAGGTTTGAGTTTTTGCTCATGGTTTGGCCTTTAGAAAAATATGGCATCAAAAGCTGGACACATAATTTTTGGTCAAAATTCATGTAAAAATAGTACCCTGAATTATCCTACTTAGACATAGGTCAAAACTTCCCACCCCCATAACTCCGTCAAAACTCATCCGATTTTCACGAGGTTTGATTTTTTGTGCATGGTTTGGCCCTTAGAAAAATATGGCATCAAAAGCTGGACACATAATTTTTGGTCAAAATACATGTAAAAATAGTAACCTGAATTATCCTACATAGACATAGGTCAAAACTTCCCACCCCCATAACTCCGTTAAAACTCATCCTATTTTCACGAGGTTTGATTTTTTGTTCATGGTTTGGCCCTTAGAAAAATATGGCATCAAAAGCTGGACACATAATTTTTGGTCAAAATTCATGTAAAAATAGTACCCTGAATTATCCTACATAGACATAGGTCAAAACTTCCCACCCCCATAACTCCGTCAAAACTCATCCGATTTTCACGAGGTTTGAGTTTTTGTTCATGGTTTGGCCCTTAGAAAAATATGGCATCAAAAGCTGGACACATAATTTTTGGTCAAAATTCATGTAAAAATAGTACCCTGAATAATCCTACTTAGACATAGGTCAAAACTTCCCACCCCCATAACTCCGTCAAAACTCATCCGATTTTCACGAGGTTTGATTTTTTGTGCATGGTTTGGCCCTTAGAAAAATATGGCATCAAAAGCTGGACACATAATTTTTGGTCAAAATACATGTAAAAATAGTAACCTGAATTATCCTACATAGACATAGGTCAAAACTTCCCACCCCCATAACTCCGTTAAAACTCATCCTATTTTCACGAGGTTTGAGTTTTTGTTCATGGTTTGGCCCTTAGAAAAATATGGCATCAAAAGCTGGACACATAATTTTTGTTCGAAATTCATGTCAAAATAGTACCCTGAATTATCCTACATAGACATAGGTCAAAACTTCCCACCCCCATAACTCCGTCAAAACTCATCCGATTTTCACGAGGTTTGAGTTTTTGTTCATGGTTTGGCCCTTAGAAAAATATGGCATCAAAAGCTGGACACATAATTTTTGGTCAAAATTCATGTAAAAATAATACCCTGAATTATCCTACATAGACATAGGTCAAAACTTCCCACCCCCATAACTCCGTCAAAACTCATCCGATTTTCACGAGGTTTGATTTTTTGTTCATGGTTTGGCCCTTAGAAAAATATGGCATCAAAAGCTGGACACATAATTTTTGGTCAAAATTCATGTAAAAATAGTACCCTGAATTATCCTACATAGACATAGGTCAAAACTTCCCACCCCCATAACTCCGTCAAAACTCATCCGATTTTCACGAGGTTTGATTTTTTGTGCATGGTTTGGCCCTTAGAAAAATATGGCATCAAAAGCTGGACACATAATTTTTGGTCAAAATACATGTAAAAATAGTAACCTGAATTATCCTACATAGACATAGGTCAAAACTTCCCACCCCCATAACTCCGTTAAAACTCATCCTATTTTCACGAGGTTTGAGTTTTTGTTCATGGTTTGGCCCTTAGAAAAATATGGCATCAAAAGCTGGACACATAATTTTTGTTCGAAATTCATGTCAAAATAGTACCCTGAATTATCCTACATAGACATAGGTCAAAACTTCCCACCCCCATAACTCCGTCAAAACTCATCCGATTTTCACGAGGTTTGAGTTTTTGTTCATGGTTTGGCCCTTAGAAAAATATGGCATCAAAAGCTGGACACATAATTTTTGGTCAAAATTCATGTAAAAATAATACCCTGAATTATCCTACATAGACATAGGTCAAAACTTCCCACCCCCATAACTCTGTCAAAACTCATCCGATTTTCACGAGGTTTGAGTTTTTGTTCATGGTTTGGCCCTTAGAAAAATATGGCATCAAAAGCTGGACACATAATTTTTGGTCAAAATTCATGTAAAAATAGTACCCTGAATTATCCTACATAGACATAGGTCAAAACTTCCCACCCCCATAACTCCGTCAAAACTCATCCGATTTCCACGAGGTTTGAGTTTTTGTTCATGGTTTGGCCCTTAGAAAAATATGGCATCAAAAGCTGGACACATAATTTTTGGTCAAAATACATGTAAAAATAGTAACCTGAATTATCCTACATAGACATAGGTCAAAACTTCCCACCCCCATAACTCCGTTAAAACTCATCCTATTTTCACGAGGTTTGAGTTTTTGTTCATGGTTTGGCCCTTAGAAAAATATGGCATCAAAAGCTGGACACATAATTTTTGTTCGAAATTCATGTCAAAATAGTACCCTGAATTATCCTACATAGACATAGGTCAAAACTTCCCACCCCCATAACTCCGTCAAAACTCATCCGATTTTCACGAGGTTTGAGTTTTTGTTCATGGTTTGGCCCTTAGAAAAATATGGCATCAAAAGCTGGACACATAATTTTTGGTCAAAATTCATGTAAAAATAATACCCTGAATTATCCTACATAGACATAGGTCAAAACTTCCCACCCCCATAACTCTGTCAAAACTCATCCGATTTTCACGAGGTTTGAGTTTTTGTTCATGGTTTGGCCCTTAGAAAAATATGGCATCAAAAGCTGGACACATAATTTTTGGTCAAAATTCATGTAAAAATAGTACCCTGAATTATCCTACATAGACATAGGTCAAAACTTCCCACCCCCATAACTCCGTCAAAACTCATCCGATTTCCACGAGGTTTGAGTTTTTGTTCATGGTTTGGCCCTTAGAAAAATATGGCATCAAAAGCTGGACACATAATTTTTGGTCAAAATTCATGTAAAAATAATACCCTGAATTATCCTACATAGACATAGGTCAAAACTTCCCACCCCCATAACTCCGTCAAAACTCATCCGATTTTCACGAGGTTTGAGTTTTTGTTCATGGTTTGGCCCTTAGAAAAATATGGCATCAAAAGCTGGACACATAATTTTTGGTCAAAATTCATGTAAAAATACCACCCTGAATTATCCTACATAGACATAGGTCAAAATTTCCCACCCCCATAACTCCGTCAAAACTCATCCGATTTTCATGAGGTTTGAGTTTTTGCTCATGGTTTGGCCTTTAGAAAAATATGGCATCAAAAGCTGGACACATAATTTTTGGTCAAAATTCATGTAAAAATAGTACCCTGAATTATCCTACTTAGACATAGGTCAAAACTTCCCACCCCCATAACTCCGTCAAAACTCATCCGATTTCCACGAGGTTTGATTTTTTGTTCATGGTTTGGCCCTTAGAAAAATATGGCATCAAAAGCTGGACACATAATTTTTGGTCAAAATTCATGTAAAAATAGTACCCTGAATTATCCTACATAGACATAGGTCAAAACTTCCCACCCCCATAACTCCGTCAAAACTCATCCGATTTTCACGAGGTTTGAGTTTTTGTTCATGGCTTGGCCCTTAGAAAAATATGGCATCAAAAGCTGGACACATAATTTTTGGTCAAAATTCATGTAAAAATAGTACCCTGAATAATCCTACTTAGACATAGGTCAAAACTTCCCACCCCCATAACTCCGTCAAAACTCATCCGATTTTCACGAGGTTTGAGTTTTTGTTCATGGTTTGGCCCTTAGAAAAATATGGCATCAAAAGCTGGACACATAATTTTTGGTCAAAATTCATGTAAAAATAGTACCCTGAATTATCCTACATAGACATAGGTCAAAACTTCCCACCCCCATAACTACGTCAAAACTCATCCGATTTTCACGAGGTTTGAGTTTTTGTTCATGGTTTGGCCCTTAGAAAAATATGGCATCAAAAGCTGGACACATAATTTTTGGTCAAAATTCATGTAAGTAGTACCCTTTTCACAGATATATATAATATATATATATACTTAAGGTATGTGGAGTAAGATATAACAGTTTGTGCCTATGTACGATATATTGCTATGTCTTAAAATTTATTCTACTTTCTATAGAAATGATATGGGTATTATGTACTTACCCCACTCCTCCTTTTTTGATATGTGTTTTATGACTTGTCCCACATCCCATTCATTCAAATAGTTAGTATATTTCCATATTTTCATAGGAGGAAGCAGTATTGATCGAAGTTATATATTGATGATAAATGCAGATATTTGTATCCGTATCCAGGTCTGTTTATGCTTGATATTGTTATTGTTATTGTTATTTAAATATAAATGATCATATTTAATATGTACATAAATAAAGATAGTAGATGTATATGTTATATGGTACAATAGAATAGCTCATGCCCAGGTCGAATTTGCCCTATCATATATTCTTATGCAGATATAAATGGCCATATTGAGAATTTATATAAGTAAATAGTATATGCAGATATTAAAAGATATAATTCTTATGTATATACAAATATTGTATGTATAGCGTACTCACCCCGCATCCGATACTGCTTGTTAGATATGTGTTTTATTTTCTTACCCCAAATCCCATCCATACGAATAGGTATTTTTGTCCATATTTCGATAGGAGAAAGCCTTCTTGTTCCAATTTTTATATTATTGGCAAATTCAGGTGTAATGATGGAGCTCGTGTCGTGGCTTAACATATTTTCTTCCTTAAAGAAACGACCAGGCTTATAATGTCGAAAGTAGATGCAACGTATAATAGCCCGTGCCCACAACTGATTTGATATACTACTGTTTATCATAATGAATATATATGTAAATGATATATGGGTTATGAACTTACCCATTCCTTCCCATCCATTTAAATAGTATGTATATTTCCATATGTCCACATGAAGAAGCAGTGTTGTTCGAATTTATATATTGATGATAAATGCAGATATAATATTTGTATCCGTGGACACATGTATATATGCATCCGTGCATGCATGCATACATGCAGACATGGATACATGCAGACTTGCATAAATTTATATTTGTATACACATATACATGCATACATGTATTTATGCATATATACATATATAAATACATACATGCATGCATGCATGCATACATACATGCATACATGCATGCATACATGCATACATGCATACATACATATATATGTATGTATATATATACATACATACATACATGCATGCATACATACATACATACATATATACATACATACATATATACATGCATACATACATGAATACATACATACATACATGCATACATGCATACATACATGCATACATAAGTAAAACAAAATAAATAACAAAAAAAACACAAAAAAAAAATACAGAAAAAAACACTAAAAAAAAAAAACACAAAAAAATACACTAAAAAAAACCAAAAAAAAAAACACCAAAAAAAAAACCAACAAAAAAAACCACAAAAAAAACACTGCACTACTAGCTACGCGTGAAAAACTGCAAAGCCTACTTGAATTCTTGAGAATCGAGGAGTAGAGCACTTGGTAGAAGTTCGTTTTATTTAAATTTGGTCTGCGTTTGGTATTAGAAAACAAACTTGCATGCAGACATACATATATAAATGTATACATACATGCATACATATACTAACACACACACGCCCACACACACACACACACACATACATAATACTTATGTGCCTTCATAAATATATAAATACTTGTTTAAAATATAATTAGAGAGTAAAGCCACCCCGGCGTGCAATTGCGAATCCTTATACCAACAAATAACTTTTTTTTAATGAAAACGCAGTTTTGGTTAAGCTAAACCTTAAATCTTCCTTTGCATCTGTGGATTACATTTTCCGATTTCGAATCTCCGCATTTTTAGAAGAAATTACCCGCACGAGTTATGTAAACTTAAGTCAAACATTCGACTTGAGGGCTCTGCTTTATTTAATACTTTTCGATAACCTTTTCGGCCATGGCACGAATACCTATCCAGGTTTCGGTTACAAACTCATCGATCTTGCTGGCCGGTGGATCAAAGCCCGTCAAGCCACCTCCACTCAACTCCATGGTGATCGATATATTGAAGCCGGCGTAGAAGGCATAGTCATCGCTGGCCCCAGCGGCTATATACAGCACATTTGTGGAGCTACCCACCTCGTAGACCGTACCGGTTGCTTTCTCTATAGCATCTCCACCAGCACGGGCCACTTCATCGAGATCCTGCCAAGTTTCCGGCAAATCGCTGCAATATTAATCATCATATTAATCAAGAGCATATGAAAAGAGAAGGATATTCAGCCACAAACCTGGTCCAACCCCATGGGTAGAGCAAGTAATTGCCATACGAATGGATGGTTAGGTACATAATGCCGCGATCCGCCAGTGAATGCATCAGATCGCGCACCACAACTGTCTCTGGCTCGGAGAAAGCGTTGGGACCAGCAAAGGTATCCACGCAGGGATTCGATGAGGCGCCCTCCTCATTCCAATGGAAGTCAAAATTGCGATTAGGATCGGCGCCATAACAGGTCTGGCCCAGATACTTATAGGGCTGACGAGTCTTGCGAAATATGCGAGCATAAGTGCCTGTCTGGGTGTGCTCATAGCCGTCCGCGTTAACCACTGGCAAAATGACCCAGTCATAGTCCTGCAGCAGATCAGCATTCTCTTCGAACCGTTCCACCAACTGGTCAATGACATACAGCACAGCTGCCGGAGAGATCCATTCGCGAGCATGGAAACCGCCGTCCATGAAGATGACCTTCTTGTTGGCACGACCATCCCCATTGGTGATGGTAATGGTCTTCAGTTCGCGCTTTTCAAATGACCAGCCGACAGTCTTGACGAGCACACGCGACGGATAACGAGCGGCCAGGTCATCAATGTAGTTGGTGATCTCCTCATGGGAATAGTAGCGCTCCGTGCTGAGGCGACCCTTGCCCGAAATGGGTGAGAGGCGTCGCTGCAGCTGCCGCTGGGCAAACTCCGCTGCAATCGTGGCGCCCAGGTTGTCATTTAGTAGGCGATGGCTCAACTGCTCTACCGACAGCAAAGCTTCAAAGTTGTCCAGCTGATCAGGACTGACAATGACACGAGAAGATTTACCCAACAAACGAGGTAAACTAAGGAAGTCATAACCCTGGAGGCTCAGCCTGTGCAGCAGCTCTCCCTGTGCAGCTGAGGTAGGAGTCAGCTCATAGATGCGATAACTGCAAGCAACATTTGTCAGGACTACTCAGCCGGCATAAGATCCTGATAAACTCACCCTTCATAGTCTTGATTGGCGGCCACCAGAGCCAATCCCAACAGCAGTGTCAGCAAGCCCAAACGCGACATGTTTACACGCGATCACACTATAGTTACGCGTGCCTGAAATCCAGCACTTAAATAGCCCAATCATATCTAATCTTAACTCGTAATCGATCTATAAATTAGAAGCGTATCTTTTGTATAAACCGAAATCAACGTCGTTGGACACAAGACTATCTTTATTTACGACCGAGTCTGGTAACGTCTTATCACCTCCAGGGCCATGGCACGCACACCCACCCAACTTTCGGTGACAATGCCTTCGATGTGCGAGACCCACGGATCGAAGCCAAGGAATCCGCCAGCTGGTAGCTCCATGGTTATCGCCACCGTTGCATTGGCAACGCCCACAGCATAATCTGTGGAATCACCAGACGTAGGGTACATCAAATGATATCCACTGCCGTAGCTATAAATGCCATTGGTAGCCTGTACGATCGCCATGGCGCCCGCATCCGCCACTTCCATCATATCAAAGTAATTTGAGGGGAAGGCACTGCGAATGGCAAGGTTAAAGAGCTGTTTAATAGGGTTTACTTGGACTAAAAACTTTCAAAATATGTCTTGACTATTATTTAACATAGACATATATTTAGCATAGAACATATATATCATAATTCCTCAGTCCAACTGAATCACGAGAATCCTTGCTCGATTCTCACATATTGGAATTATTCAAGTATATATTTTCAGGTAATTTAGAGGCATAATTCTTGGGCTTACCTTGTGTGACCCCATGGCAGCAAGAGATAGTTTCCATACGAGTGGAGTGAGAGGTAAAAGTCCAAGCGATCGCTGTAGTGCAGCAGCACGTCGCGTACCACCTGCGACTCGGGCTGATCAAACGCGTGCTCGCCGCGATAAATTTCCTCAGCGGGATCCGCTGAGGAACCTTCGTCGTGTCCCCACTCGTAGCCAAAATTCCGATTCAGATCGGTGCCAATGTTCTCCGGATCCCAGGTGGGTTTGCGCGTCTTGCGCCAGTAGCGCGAGTCTGTGTGAGTAAATTCATAGCCATCCGCATTAACAACTGGCATAATAACCCAATCATAGTCCTGGAGCAGATCGGCATGCTCCACATTATGGTCCAACAGCTGCTGAATGATGTACAAGGCGAATGAGGGCGCAATCCATTCGCGTGCATGCATTGTGGCATCGATAAGGATCACCGGCTTATTCGGTCTTCCATCCCCATTGTTGATGGTCAGCAGCTTCAGAGCACGTCCCTCGTAGCTCCTCCCAAACTGTTTGAGCAGCGCACGCTGCGGATATCGCTGGGGCAAGCTCTTCAGATACTCATTGATCTCTGCATGCGTATAAAAACCACCCAAGACATCGATGAAGGGCAACGCGGAACGCGACTTGCTGAGCTCATTCTCAGCACGCTGTTGCCGCAGCAGCAAGGACATATCATTCCAGAGCAGCTGATGTTCTATGTGATGTGTCTTCAGCTGTTTCAGCAAACTGTTCACTTGGTTGGGCGCCACCAGGACACGCAATCCGCTCTCATTGTAACTGCGCCGTGTGCCCAGAATGTCCCAGTGGGGCTGCTCCCGCGCCAGCCGACGCAGTAGCTCCAGCTGATTGGCATCTTGTGGCTTCAGCTCAAACACCTTATAGTCCTTGTAGTCCTGCCAGGCCAACAGGCCAGCGAACTGCAGCAACACCAGCACCAGCAACAATCTCAACGATGTCATTTGCGGCAAGTTCCGAAAAGACTATGCCAAAAATTTCGATACCTTTGCCATGGCAAGCCACTTATCACTTAATTGGAACTGCTGCCGACTATTAGACTCTGGGTTACGATACCAATAAGTCCATTTATCGTATGTACGTAGACGCTTCTGTTTATGGCATAGTGTAAACATAAAAAAAATCACCAATAAGTTCAGGGAGTATGAAGTACGCTGAAGAGAACTAGTTCCTTTAATGTATAGTTCTTCTGTGGAATATGCAATTGTTGATTCTTGAATAACGGCGGTGCTTATTATCCGATCTCTATATAACTTTAAAGCTGAAAGTTGACATTTAAATTAGTTCACATACAATATTACTCTAAAAAGTCGTAAGAGATGAATTAAAGAAGATATCCAGAAAGAAAAGTAATCTAACACAAGACTTAAATGCTTAAAATCGATATTTATCGGTATGAGACGGTGCGTGCTATCGATAATTTTAAATAAATCTAAGCTACGTGGGCATACAATAGCCTTTGCCTCCAAATTTGAGGTCTTTTACAAAAATAGACTCACCAATTATTATTTAAATTACAGATTTATCTGCTCTTACCCGTTACGCACATATTGCCCATTTACATTGAGTACAGGGTATTGATAATTTTAAGTTACCGATAACGAACATCAAACCGTGTATTTGTTATCTTTTGTCTCACTTTCTCACTTTAATGCCTAACAACAATGACACTAATTAGTTAAATTAACAATTATAAATTCAATTGCTTAAATGCTAAGGACGGCCAAAATACTTAATAGAGACTAACGTGCCGGATGAACTCGACGAAGCCGGCGAATGTCTCCTTGCAGACGTGTATGATATCATAGGAGGGCACATGGAATTCATCGCCGGGTAGCTCAACCGTGTACGACAAGGGTATGCCCAGGCTGCCATAGGCAAAGTCATCCAGACTGCCAGAAGCCTCGTACAGTATGGAGGCGGAGGTGCCGATGGTGTATCGTGTGCCGCGATATTTGCCGATTTGGTTGGCGGCCCGCGATGCCACGGAGCGCAATGTGCCCACGGTGGGTGGCACTGTGTTTCTGTATGGATGCGAAATGGGTGTTAAAATGTTTACAGTGCCAGCCAAAAATATTCGCATTTTAATTGCTTTTAGCAATTAATTGAAAAGTAAATTGAATTTCTTTTTGCCCCTCAGAGCTGAAAGCTCAGACCCCAAAGGCCGTACACACCTCGCATAGCCGTAGGGATAAAAAATGAATTTGCCGAATGAGTGCACATCCAGGCTGAGCTTCACACGATGACGATTGAATTCCAGATAGCGAACCACCGCCGATGTTTCTGGCTCCGAATTTGGCGCCGTGCCCGAATAGACCTCCGAGCAGAGCTGTATACAATAATGGGGTTGAAATTGTGTTATTCATTATATGGAGGTCAAAGTCAAAGTTACAAATGCTGCAACAGGTCGCTTACATTCTGGCTGGCGCCCTGATAGTTCCAGTGATTGCCAAAGTTACGATTGATGTCCACCCCGCTGCATGAATGACCAGCATAGCGATGGCGATTCTTGCGCCAGAAGCGATCCTAAGAGGCAGATAAATTAGAAACCAATTAAACACAATTCTACGGAAGTAATTCCAAGATATCTGCAGGCAATCTTTGAAGTTTCCATGGAATTAGATTAGCTATCGGATTTTCCTTATCACATTATTATTTCGTTCTTGCAACTACTTATTTGCAGAATAAACTTTTTAGTGCGAAAAAGGTTGAAATTAGTTTTCTGATATATGTTTTTAGCCTAACTTAGCTTATTTAAAAATGCTAAGTCTTAGACCGTCTATACTTAAATGATAATGAATAATTTTACCCTAATATTAACTTAAGCTTAGCCCAATGTATTCCTACATTTCAAGCTTCATCTTAAAACAAGTTTATATAAATTCTGACCTTGATATGTGTTTAATTTATTCTTGATTAAAGAACTTTCAAACCCAAGCAAGTAAGTGTGCTCTACTCGTGAGTGACCGACTACGAGATACCCTTTCAAGCTACCTTTTCAAACACTTTAACTTTTTCTAAAGTGGCCAAAAAAGATTTGTTCCCAAGCTGTATGTACTACATGAGAAAATACTTCTCACGGTTTGGGTATACATTTATAATCTTAAAAAAACATGTTTCAAAATCGATATTTATCCATGAAAGGAGATATCGAAAGAAAGAAAAATATATATATATATATGTATACATAAAGTCTCAACGATTTATAGATTTCGAGATCGAAACAGATGGACAGATTATCGAACAGACGGAGATGGATATCATTTATAATGTTAGAGATGCTTTCTTTTACCCTTAAGCTGTTTACCCATTTTACCCTTTGTAGCATAAAGAGGCTTATTTATAGCCCGCCATCAAATTGTTTGTTTGGGAGTATAATCTATTGCTTACCGTTGTGTGCGTGTACTCATAGCCATCGGGATTGACGAGCGGCACAAGGAACACCTCGACATCGTTCAGTACCCGCTGGAATGCGCGCAGATTGCTGAGCAGCTCGTAGGCCAAGTAGAGCACCGTCTGCGTTGTGATCCACTCCCTGCCGTGGGCAGCTGCCTGAATGTAGGCCACACGGCGCGGGCGAACACGCTGGTTCAGTGATATGGACAGGCCGGCAATGTGACGGCCCTCGTTGGAGCGACCCAGCGATTCGTAGCGACAGTACTGTGGATAACGTGCAGCCAAGCCGCTCATGAAGTTGAGTATCTCATGATAGCGCGGATAATGCGAGAAGAAGCCGCGTGCCTGACGACGCTGCCGATTACGTGGACGCTCCGACTTGCAATTCCCCGGCTGGCATTCATCCAAGTCATCGGCATCCGCATATGTGCTATTCGCTTCTAGCGATGCCATCAGATCCATCAGTGGCTGGGTCTGATATTCCACACCCAACTGGGACAGGCGCGACTCGAACTGTGGCTTACGCTGCGGACCCACCGTCAGCACAGACATGTTCCGGGTAAGCAGCCAGAAGTCCACCTCAGTATCGTTCGTCTGCAGATCGACCATATAGCGAAAGGCGCTCTCATCGCCATGCTGCACCGTGTACTTGGTATAGCTGCAGGAAATTGTGGTAAAAATATTCAAATAAAAAGATTAATAAATAATTATAATCATAAGGCAGACTAAGTCTTTATTGAGTTATTCAATAAATCTAGGAAGGATCCTGGTTCGAATCCTAATTATATCCGCTGACTCTGCTCGCAAAAAGGGACTGAAAAACCTTAAATTCGCAAAAGGAGGTACGCTTAAGTGCCTGACTAGTAGATACTCTGCGTTCAGGTAAACCTAAGCTACAAATTTCAAGTCTGTAAAGCATATAGTTCCCGAGAATGTGAATGCTTAACAAGAATATATGATTTGTAAGGTCAGAGAAGCCGCCTTTTAACTCTATCAAACACTTGCAACAAAACAGTATACCCTTTTTTAACCTGGGTTACAGGGTATAACAACTTTCTAACGTCACAGCTCTCATCATAACGTAGCTAAATGTTAAATTTAGCATAACTGTTTCCAAATGATCTCATAAGTTCTATTATAAAAGTTCTTGCTAAGATTATGAAACTTGTGTTCGGGTATTAAATCACATTTGCAGCCAGTTTAGATGCTCTCACAAACGAGTTTATGTTGAATATTTCATTTGTTCTTTTTGAAACCAATTAAGTTTAGGCTACATAAAAAAAACTTTTGAAATGTTTGCACGTTTTGAATCTTAGCCCATCAATGGGTTATCCCGATTACGTGCAATTGCGGCCAACTAATTGTTGGAATAATAGATATCCAATTAAAAATTCGAAAAACCCAATAAGATTGCTTCACACACACACACACACACACAGGCACCCAAAGAGCTGTCTTGATCTAATTGGACAAGAAAATTAATTTGTGGCGCCCAAAAATGAGTTGTTGATTCACAAATTTATGCAGAATGCTCGTTCTAGTTGTCGTCGCCTGGCCAATTGGCGTTTTGCCACCTCGCTTGAATTTGTGGCCAATTTATCATTTCAGAAAATTCCACAACGCCAGCAGACAAGATGAAGCAACAAGCTGGCCCACAAATATTGAAAATCTATGCATATTCATCTTGTGCAGCAGCAGCTGCTAGGGGAGGGGGGTAGGGCGGGGCAAGTAGCCAAGTAGCCGAACAGAAGACAAAGCTGCGGCTAATCACGTGTGGCAGTCGGCATACAATGAATAATATATAATTGAATTAAACGCCCGCCAACAATGTTTATCTCACACACAGAAACAGAAGGCAAAGAGCGGGCACAAATATTCAAAATTAAAAACAAAAGTTGGGTGTGACTGACGAGGAAATACCCTGTAGCCAGTGTCGAGAATCCAATCACAAACAAAGGGAATCAAAATCAAAATCGATATTTATCAATATTATGGATATAGGAGAAAATATTGAATAAATAACTTTCAAATTGAATTTGATACATTTTTATATCGATATTTATCGATATTATGCAAATGGAAAAAGCAATATATAATGTTATCTTATAAACTTCGAGATATGCCTAAAAACTTTTATTACAAATTTGTATTTTTGAACAATTAAAGAAATGGAAGAATGGAGATATCACCAAATATAATCTCATCAAGAACATACATATGTATACACTTTATGGGTTTGGCCTCAAAACCAATATACCCTTCGTTACCCGCTTTCAATGGTTACAGGGTATTAAAAATGAAAACCCCGCAGGCGGCCGCATAGGCCAACTAATTTTTCATTTTTACATAAAGAAACTGTTTACATGTGATTAGTTTGATTTTCATTTGAATTAAACGTAGCTGCTGTTGCAGTAATTTTCCTTAAATTATGGCCAAATGAAGCGCTATTGTTGGCTGCAACCTTGTCAAAACGATATCTATGCATATTAAGCATCTACTTTCAAGCATTCCAATTTTAAATGTTTTGTGTCGAAATAACAACAAAAACGACAAACTGAACACACGAACGGAACGGAAGGAAGCAAACATTTTGCGTGCTAATTAAAAATCAAGTTGTTGTTTTACGCTCGTTTTCAATTTTTATTTTCATCACTTGAAGAGATCTCAGTCCAAGCACAGTTGCTCGCATCCATTACACATACGCCGCGTGCGCCCCCTCTGAAAAAACAAATTCAGCTGAAATATCTTTGGGCAAACATTTGCACTGCGATCGCTTGGCATTTGCATACGGCATTTGCTGTGTCATCGGCGGATCGTCAATAGAAGCTGCCTTCTGCCATGGGTGTGATTTTTTTTTTGGTTTTGGTTTTATTTTGCAGGCACGCCTGACTAGCGTAACATTTAGTCTAAGTACTAATGTTAATGACAGCGTCTAATCACTGGCATTGACAGTCGCTTCTAATAACACGTTAATACATGTGTGCTCATGTGTGTGTGTGTCTGCGTGTGTCTGTGTGTGTGTGTGTGTGTGTGTACATATCTAGCCAAACATTTGCCAGCCACTGAGACCTCTCTGAGACTCTTAAGACCTATAATCGCACATAACTGAGAAACTTGTAAAGAAATATATATTTTTATATATTTTATTTTAAGATAGATCTGAAAAATTTCTCTCAGTGCATTTCACATTTCAGGATAAAAAATAAAAGATCCTCAACAGCAAATCCAACTTCTTAAAAAAAAACGATCTACCTATGCCTACACCCTAGCAATAGCCGAGGGTTTGAACCCGCATTCTCCTTATCTACCGAGCTGGAAAATTCTTACTTTAACTTTCCCCATCACATGAGCTACGTTAAAAATGTCATTAAGCAATTCTTAATTCAAGAAACAATTTCTTTCAGTTACAATCTTTACAGCTTACACTTGAGATTCAAAAATTTAGTGTTCCTTCATTGAAAAGTTAACGTTATTTAAAGCACAAAACTGCACTGAAATTTTTGCATATAAAGAGTTGAAAATATGTTTGGCAAACTAAAGGAATTCACTTTGAACTGGGGCTCCAAATTGTATCGCAATTCGCTGATCATATCTGTTTTGGCCATACCCTATCTAACATTCAAGTGTCAAATAGACAAACTGTCCACATTCGATATTGGGCTTATGTATGCCAGTATTGCAATCGGTGTCATCAGCTGTCTGGAGTATGATATGCAACGGCATTAAAAGGGAGGGTCACCTTTTGGGCAGTTGGTAAGTACGAATTACAAACAGACGATATTTTAAGCAGCTTCACAAACCGGTTATAAAGTGAAACGGTTCGTTTCGGTAAAAACAGTTTGCATTTTACCGGTTCGAAAATAAAGCCAGAGCCTGTATCAAACGTTATTTAAAATAATTTTCGATTTCTTTTTCTTTACAAAAATAAAATAATGTCCGCATACATATGTATATGCATATTTATATGTATATATACATATATTAAGTTAATTCGTATTAGATTGAAAAAAAAGTGTGACCAGCTAAATTTGGAAAAAAAAACAGCTACACGAACTGAACCAAAAGTCAAGGCATTGGATCAGTTTTGTCCTCCCTTTTTTGGATTTCAAAAATGAGAATAGTATTAAAATTTTAATATTTTGAAATTTTGACAAACTTTGTAAAATTACAAAATTGTTCAATATATAAAAAAAACTTATTGAAAATGCCAAATTTCGTGAAAAAAAGGCACCTGGTTAATATATCTGAAGCCTGAACCCAAAGGCAAGGTTCAGTTGTGCCCTCTCTTTTTTTGGATTTAAAGAGACGAACACTTGGCTAGTTATAAGGTAAAATTCCAAACCAGTTTACCAACTAGCCGGCAATCGTTAAATACAATTTTAAATATTATCAAAAAAAAAAAACAAAAAAGATAATAAATGACTGCCATAAGAGGGCCGCCTGACAGATGTGCTTAAAATATTTATATCAAAAAAATGAATATATATATATATGTATATGTATCTGAACAGAAATGTATTTATAACTATTGTGTTAATTACCCTTCATAGCCGGCCAGATTGTTGGAGCTGGTGCTGGAGCACGCCAAGCCGAGGAGACACAGCAGCAAACTGCACACGATTTTATAAAACATTTTGCGCTTAACAATTGGCCACAGCTGTTCGTACTTGTGTTTGTTGTTGATAAATTTGTTGTTTAGTATTTGATTGTTGCTATTTTTTGTTTTTGTTTTAACAAATTATGTATTAAAATATGCAGCTGAGCGCTGAATGTAGCATGGATGCACTTGGTTTTTTTGTTATTTGCTTTTCCTTCAACACAATTATAATAAATTTGTTTTTAGCTTTTTACTCGTTGGTTGCACTTGAAAAACTGATGTAACAAAACCACAAGCTTAAGTTAACTTAAGCTGAGCGCCGCCCAATTCGTGTGTGTCTCATCTTCGTTTCGGCCAAAGACTGTCGAATGGTCCGAAACGCGGCTCAGCAAGAAGACGTTGCCACAGCCAACAGAAAAGAAAAAAAAACAAAAACAAAAACCCAAAAAAAACAAAAACAACCAAAATTGTTTCGTTTCGGTTTTTGTAGAAAAGTGAGTGTCAAGGTCAGCCGTGTCCAGTTCAATCCAACGATCCAACAACCGTGGTCCAACCAAATACAAGACGATCTTTTTTTTGTAAACCCGTCACGAGACAAAATGCGGAAAGCGTTTTTTTCCAAAATGTTCGCGGCACGCGTCGCAGGTTTTTTCTTAGTTCTGTTTTTTAAGTTAATATATTTCGATTTTGATTAGAATTCGCTTAGTTCTTGCCAATTAACTTTTGCATAATTTATGCCAGTTGCTAAGAAGCCAATTTTAATGGGTTTTCGGTTTTTTTTTTTATATATTTTTCAAATGAAATTTAATGAATTTTTTTTTATTTTCTTTAAGAGAATTGATGGTGTTGATTTTTTATATTTCGAAACTTGTTTTAAACAATTTTATCACTTTGTTATCCGCACACACACACATAATTGTGGCTCAATTGTTGTTGTTGTTTTTTTGGGTCTAGTTCGGTTTTTGATCTTTAAGGGGTTTTGCATCCGCGTGTTGCGGGTCTTGAAGTGATTCTGAAGCCGTTACTTGTTTTCTTACTGGTTTTTATAGAGGAACTTGAACTATGCGAATGTCCGTGTGTGTGTGTGTATGTGTGTGTGTGTTATGCTTTGGGCCAACTTTGCGCTTTGTCTGCCTAATGTCACGGTCTGACATGGAGATACATAGCCATAGGCCATATTTTGCGCGCCAAATATCAGATTCCTGTTCTATTCGAATCGAATTGAAAGTTTGACAAGATGCGCGCCAGCTAAATTCTATTGGGCCAAGAGCTGATCTGAACTATTTGATTTTGCAAGGTCAATTATTTGAGTTGGCCGGAAGCGATGCTCGCAAATACTTGTGGTCCATTACACTTAGACCAAAGATGAGACGCAGAAGAAGCGCTTTAAAAAGCAACTGATGAGCCCATTAAAAATCCGACGATGCTTGGTTCGAGTTCATTAAAACATTAAGTGGTTGATTGGCAGTCGAAAAGATCTGTAAATAACCCGACGTCATGGCTGAACAGAAGCCATTCACAAATCATCGAGCGCAGCTCTTCGGATGATACCATTCTCTATGTCTCTCGTGACGACGTCTTAGTTTCTTTTTTTTGTTATTTTCATAAAATATTTTCGGTTTGCTTTTGTGCGTAATTATGACACTTGTTTGTAGCTTTGGGCACTTCCGCTTGACCGACGATATTTTCATTGATCCGATCTGCCATCATCGAAGATCAATAGCTATAGCCGTAGCAGAACTTTACGTTTCCGGTGCACTAGAAGAACGTCTATTCGATCGCATTTGCATTTTTAATTTAACCAGCTGTTAAATTTAATAGCTGGCTGGCTTAAATTGACAACTCGTTTTTGGGGTTCTAAATCATTTTAGTCTCAGCTTAATGGGTTCTAACTCAAAACTCAGGGCATTCAACTTTTTCAACTTGACCGCGTTGTCTGAATAGCCAAAAAAAAAATCGCCCGACATGCACAATTATTACTTAACAATCTTACAATATATATAGATCTATAGCGCATATCATTCAAGGCGTGCGCTAAACGAGTTTTGTTTCTATACCCATTAAAATTTGGTAAAATAAAATGTGCCACAACCGAATCTGCTTTAAAATAACTTATAATAACTATTAGCCTAACCAATATACCTTAAATTTCTAGATTAAGAGAAGGTAAGTTTCAGCTTTAAAAATGGGAAGAGCATTTGCTCTGGATTTTAATATTACAGCGTATCTGTTAGTCTAAGACGTTTAGCAACAGCACTCCAGTTTGTTTTTATTTGGTATTTCTTTTGTTTTGGTCTTTGTCAACGCCCCAATAATCATATGAAAGAGCCCTCCGGGGGCAAGAGACCCAGCTATACTTTGTGACCTTAACCATGAAAATAATCTTTGCCAGCTTCAATCTGTGAACAGACTGAGATATCTGTTTGTATGTTTACAACGATACCGCGAGATATTTATACTCTTGAGCTAGTTTGGATTGTTGGAGACCATAAAAACTAGGAACACCAACAATGTTGCAAGTAGCTGCAATCGCAGACCAAATAATACCTTTTCTTTCTCAAAAAGATTGCTGCAAAGTATTTAAAGATAGCCTTTCTATGCGATTTTCATATGCTGATATAATGGTGTGGGCTTGGTCGCGCTCTATCACGTAATCCCCCTCGCTCTCTCTCTCTCCCGCATTCTCTGCGCGTCTTTAACCATCTATTTCACCACCCTCTCCTTTTCTCTCTCTCTCTCTCTCTCTCTCTCTCTCTCTCTCTAACTCGCTGACTCACTAGCTTTCCTCCCACTCTCAGCTACCGCCTTTCTACGTGATTCTCATGAAACCAGGTAAGGCTTTTCTGCTTCTCTTTCTGTATACTTCAGTTGCACCTCTCGGTCATTAAGAGACACAGCATGCAAATCGATTATGTTCAAGAGTGTGCACTAATTGCGTCCAGTGTTCCCCAACCATTGAGTCAGTTTCACAGTATCCCTTGGAGGCACAACGTCGAGAATCGCAAGAAACAATGGTGAGTGCTACACTTAAAAGCTAGAGAAGAGAACAACCCACAGCCCTGTTAACAATCTCGTGCACAGTTCTTGATGACGTCGCTGCAATTGTGGCTGCTGCTCTTATCAGCCAATTTGCAAATGGAGGCATTCAGATATTACGACTATGACGACAACGGAGAAGTTAACTTTATGTCGAATGGACATGGTTACGGTCGTGTTGTCACAAAAAGAACATGTGAAAGTCATGAAGAGATTGCACGCTGGATCAACGAGCAGGTGGTGAGAAATGCGAAACTTACGAGCCTCAATCAACAGCTGGGCAAGTTATTGGATGCCTTGCATACGAAGCGCCCGGAGCAGATCGGAGACGAGCACTGTTGTTTCTATGAGAAGGACACCATGGAGAAGATATTGAAACACATGACGAGCCTCTCGGCCAGCAGTAGCATCGGCGTGGGCAAGCCTCTGGAGTCAAGCGGCGACATTGGCAAGGATCTGGACAGCATCCTGGACAGAATGAAAATACTGATCGGGAAAGACACGAAAACCTGCTGCGATCAGTTGATGGACAATCTTAAAGCCATGGAAGTCGATTTGGCTAAGCAATTGTATGAGCTTAGCCGCAGATTGAACGAACAAAACGAGGACAACACTCGGAAACGAGATAAGCTAAAGGTCAAGGAAGCTGATCTAGAGAAGAAGCTAAAGGATATAGCGCAGCGCATCGAGCAACTGGAGCAGAAACAAAAGGACAACAAGGCGGAGGCGGAAAAGTGTTGCAAGGAGCTGAACTCGCGAGTCGATGAGCTTAACCAACAGTTGGAGAAAGCACAAGCCGAGACCCAAAGGAAGGCCAACGAGCTGAAGAAAGAGCTGAAAGACTTGCAGGATAAACAAAAGGAGCAGCAGGATCAAATAAATAACATCCAAATAGAATCAGAGAAGCGCATTGGGAATATTAAATTAATAAAGGAAAAATGCGACAAGACCTGTGAAATAAACAAACTGGAAAACCAATTACTTCAGGGCAACAGCACAGAAAACAGCCCGCTGGCGAAAATAACACAATTGGAGCAGGCGGTTAACGAACACAAGGAACAGCTGGAGAAACTCGTGAAGCTGGCAACAAGTATTTCCCACTGCAGGCAGTTCCATGATGAACTGAAAAAAATGGAAACCACAGTGCAAGAGTTAGAAAAGCAAAAGACGCCCGAACCACAAGATATGAATAATTGTCCAGGACTGGACGAATTGAAGGCGGAAGTTAATAGGGCCAAGGCCTGCTGCAAGAACATGGACAAGTTGTCCAAAGATCTGGAGCAGCTGCAGCAAAATGTTGACCAAATGGGCGCCAATTACAGTGATCATATTGCCAAACTGGAAGCGGCTCTAAAGGATTTGCAGCAGCGTCTGAACGAGGCGCTGGACAAGTTGAACTCGGCGAGTTCCACGACTGTCAAGCCCACGACTGCGGGTATCGATGCCCAGGCCGTTGATGACCTCATAAGACAGCTGCAGGCCAAACTGGCTGCGACAAATGATTTGCTTTCGGTAATCCAAAAAAATCTCGAAGATAACGATAACAAGCTGAACGAAATCAAGGATGATCTAATCAAAAAGTACGACGAGCTGGCCAAGCTGAATGCGGAACGGCAAAAGGATGCGCAAGAATTTAAGAAACGCGCCGAGCAACGTCTCAACGAACTGGAGAAATTGCTGCTCCGATCGAATAATAATAATCATAATGATCCCGTCAAGCTGGATGGCAAAATTGTGCAGCGTCTGGCAGAGCTGGAGAAACAACACAAAAAACTGCGCAAGGATACCGACAAGATATTGGAGCTGGAACAACGAATTGCGGAACTGGAGGCGAGACTTAAAGATGCACTCGAGAACCTGCATGAAAACGATGCTGAATTAAACAAATGTTTGAGCTCGTGCAAGGGTCTGGACAAGCTAGACGATCTTATCGATCGCATCGAGGATCTGGAGAAGATTGCTGGCATTCCCCCAAAGGCCAGAAGCTCCACAATCCAGACAACACAGTGGACGACAACAAGGAGACCGCACGGCTCAAAAGGAAGCGTTGATCATGCAATGCCTATTTACGAGGTGAAATAATAATAATAATAATAATATTAATAATAATAATATTAATAATAATAATAATTATAATAATAATAATAATAATAATAATAATAATAATAATAATAATAATAATAATAATAATAATAATAATAATAATAATAATAAATTAATATACCTTTCATAATTCTTTCATGAAAAACTCATAAATTCATGCGCCTTTCTATGCGATTTTCATGAATTTAAGTTATATTTTTAATGCATATGTGAATCATATTTGTTATCCTTGGGATTATAATTTGGAATTATCGCAAGAAATACAGCTGGTGCATATAAATATGTTCTGTCTATCAAAGTACTCTCATATGAGCAAAGTCTTCCCATATATGTCATATATGTTGACGATCGAGAAATAAGTAAGTAAAAGATTGCATGGCTCAAGCTTAAAATTAACAAGCTGCTCACATATCTGCGAAACTGTAGCAAGAAAGGGTATTTAGCTTAAAGTTTTTGTTCTTCTAATCACATTTGTTTGAAAGCCCCTTATTTTAGACACGACTGTTCATGTTAACCGAGACTGTGGCAGTAGGTTAAATAAGGCAGCATAAATTTTTAACTACCTGTCAAATTGACGACATAACTTTATACGCCATCCAACTATGCCAAACTGCAGAACAAAGTTAAATTGCTCTGCCATATAAAATGCATAAATATGCGGGGCATAATAATTTCTGCCCGTACGAGTCCATGTCCTTCCATGTTGGGGCAGGTTTGAAGCAAACCAAACTGACAATTTTCGTTTATGTAATTTAATTGCTGGAATTTTGTTAATTCGTAGTCGGTTTTATTTCGTCATCAAATGCCCGGAACAGCTGCCAGGCCCAAAGGAACAAACGTCAACTGGGAACATTTAAGCCAGAATTTTTTAGTTGGCGTTCCGAAAAAAAAAACTTGTAGCCCTTTTTATTTTTGCCAACATGCTAATGACATAATGTGCATACTTCAGAAACGCCCCCTAACAGGACCAACTGACTGGCGACCTGTCTGAGTCCTTGCGTGTCTCTGGCAAGTAGAACCAACCAAAAAAAACCAAAGGGAATAATTTTAATTTATGATAGCAAATTCATGACTGGCAGATAGCCTAGACTGAGCAATCCAGAAGGTTTCCTGGCAGTGAAAAAGGTTTCCTAAATGCATTCTTCAATACATTAAGGGTATGCTTGAAATAGATCGTAAAAAATATTCTAGAGCCTGTTTAACTATTTGAACAGCAACAAATGAATTTCTAGGATTAAGTTTCATTTCCTGATAGCCTACATTTTACAGGGTATATTGACGTACCGTTATTATGTAGAATGTATTATGTAAAATCAACACGAACCTTGTTTTCCGTATAAATCAACTGGTTGCGTCGTTGGCGATGTTCCTGCAAATGCATTCGGATGTTTGTACGTAAATACATATTTGTATATAGGTTTGTATATATATACACATGTCTGTGCCGATTGTTCCGACCCCGCACTTTTCAGTTTTGCGTTGACATGACATTTGTCGGGCACCAAGTTACACTGTCCAACCAAAGACACATTTCATCTAAATAATGTTAATAAAAAATATAAACTATGTAGTTTAAAAAGCGTACGATAACTGGATTGGTATTCGAAACAGAACTAATTGTCCGTTTTCAAACTCACCTGTTCCGGACTCGGCGAAAAGTTAACACAAGTGAAATTAACTGTTCCACATTCCACTGTTCCTATGCGTCTTTACTTATACGATTATCGGTCTCTTGGTATTACAAAAGTTTAAGAAAATATATTTGAAAAGAAAAGAATATATTCAAAATGAATGGGAATCTATGATGATACTTTACCATATTTAATTCCCATGATAAAGACAGAATAAAGTCCATCTTCGATTTTGGTTTTGCACAATAGATACGCTTCTAATTTATAGATCGCTTTCGAGTTCAGATTAGATATGACTAGGGTATATAAGTGCGGTATTTCGCGTTTCGTGTAACCATGTCGCGTTTGGGCTTGCTGACACTGCTGTTGGGCTTGGCTCTGGTGGCCGCCAATCAAGACTATGAGGGGTGAGTCTATCAAGGATCTTTACTGGCTGAGTAATCCTGAGCAACTGTTGCTTGCAGTTACCGCATCTATGAGCTGACTCCTACCTCAGCTGCACAGGGAGAGCTGCTGCACAGGCTGAGCCTCCAGGGATACGACTTCCTTAGTTTACCTCGTTTGTTGGGTAAATCTTCTCGTGTCATTGTCAGTCCTGATCAGCTGGACAACTTTGAAGCTTTGCTGTCGGCAGAGCAGTTGAGCCATCGCCTACTAAATGACAACCTGGGCGCCACGATTGCAGCGGAGTTTGCCCAGCGGCAGCTGCAGCGACGCCTCTCACCCATTTCGGGCAAGGGTCGCCTCAGCACGGAGCGCTACTATTCCCATGAGGAGATCACCAACTACATTGATGACCTGGCCGCTCGTTATCCGTCGCGTGTGCTCGTCAAGACTGTCGGCTGGTCATTTGAAAAGCGCGAACTGAAGACCATTACCATCACCAATGGGGATGGTCGTGCCAACAAGAAGGTCATCTTCATGGACGGCGGTTTCCATGCTCGCGAATGGATCTCTCCGGCAGCTGTGCTGTATGTCATTGACCAGTTGGTGGAACGGTTCGAAGAGAATGCTGATCTGCTGCAGGACTATGACTGGGTCATTTTGCCAGTGGTTAACGCGGACGGCTATGAGCACACCCAGACAGGCACTTATGCTCGCATATTTCGCAAGACTCGTCAGCCCTATAAGTATCTGGGCCAGACCTGTTATGGCGCCGATCCTAATCGCAATTTTGACTTCCATTGGAATGAGGAGGGCGCCTCATCGAATCCCTGCGTGGATACCTTTGCTGGTCCCAACGCTTTCTCCGAGCCAGAGACAGTTGTAGTGCGCGATCTGATGCATTCACTGGCGGATCGCGGCATTATGTACCTGACCATCCATTCCTATGGCAATTACTTGCTCTACCCATGGGGTTGGACCAGGTTTGTGGCTGAATTTCCTTCTCTTTTCTTATGCTCTTGATCAAGATGATTTATATTGCAGCGATTTGCCGGAAACTTGGCAGGATCTCGATGAAGTGGCACTTGCTGGTGGAGATGCCATAGAGAAAGTAACCGGTACGGTCTACGAGGTGGGTAGCACCACAAATGTGCTGTATATAGCCGCTGGCATCAGTCACGACTATGCGTACAACGCCGGCTTCAATATATCGATCACCATGGAGTTGAGTGGAGGTGGCTTGACGGGCTTTGATCCACCGGCCAGCAAGATCGATGAGTTTGTAACTGAAACCTGGATAGGTATTCGTGCAATGGCCGAAAAAGTAATCGAAAAGTATTAAATAAAAGGTTCTGAGAATCTCATGAATTTAAGTAAGGCTCACAAGCCTTGAGGCTTTAGTGAAATCAATCTTAAATCAATTTATGACCGTTTTTTGGGTGTAAGTATGTGTACGTATGCATGTATGTGTTTGTTTGTATATGTGCGTGTATGTATGTACACTGCGCTGCGCTGCATAAATATGTATTTCTCATTATTGCCTTACTATGCGATTCTCATGAATTCAACTATGTCTTACCGGTTTTTACGCATACATTTTTGGGGTTATTCCTGTGTAGCACAGTGTTATTTAGAGGCAATCTCCAAAATGAATTTTCTTGTCTAGAACGCTTGAGTCCATAGAGAGCTACAACTGCTCCGATTCCGGGACGGCACGCCAATGTTGGAAGGCTTTTGTTGGCCGTACGCTTCCTTGTTTATTTGCATAGCACGTGCCTGCGCTTTTGGCCGACTCCCCCAGCAGGACCCCAAGCTGTCTGTCTGACATTTAGCATATTTGCGTTTTGTGGCAGCGCCAGTTGCAGACCCCGATCCAGAACGGATATACAAATCCAATTCCGCATTACAAGCTGCCGTGCCCAACTTATTAAACGTTGTCGCTGTCCCAATTTACCAAATGCGAACTCCATGCACGCCTCCGCCCACGCCGACGACCATAGATGATCCACTTTTCCATAATGCACATAATGTTGATAAAAACTTCGGCTGGCAAACGGTTTGGCTGGCACAATGGCAGCCAGGCCCAAAGGGCTCGCACGTATCGTGATTGTCGAGCAGCTGCTGCAAGTCGAGCGCCAGGTGAGATACTCGAGGCATCCAAGCAGGCCCTGGCCGAATTTGAAGCAGCTCCAGCAGGCGTACCAAAAAAAAAGAATATAAATTCATTTAGTATTCACTTTGCTGATTTGTTGTGTGTGAAAATTTTTAGTGCCAATTCTTTACCGTTCTTAACTGTTTTTCTTGGTTTTCTATTCTGTTGCCAATTTTTTTAAATTAATATGCAAACCACAAAACGTGCCAAAAAGTCAAAAGGGCGAGCTGCGCCCAAGGTTACCGCCGTCACGGTGCCGCTGCAGGCGTCCCGCCGTATGGTCATACCACGTCCGGATGTGCTGCACACCTATCTGGAGTACAGCCAGATCAATCAGTATTTGGAGTATATTGTGCATCGATATTCGAATTTCGTCAAGCTTTACACGCTGGGCATCACGCACGAGAAGCGCGAGGTGCGCGCCGTGGAAATCAATTGGATGAACGCCGACAATGTGGAGCTGTCGTCCGTGATGCGCATGCAGGCGGCCAAGAACGCCGAGCAGCACAAGAACAGCGGCGCCAAGGGTCCCATGGTGCTGTCGGGCGATAAGAACCGCAATATCATATTCATAGAGGCGGGCACACATGCGCGCGAGTGGATTACGGTCAGCACGAGTCTCAATTGCATTTACCAGCTGACGGAGCGATATACGCGGAACATCGAGCTGCTGCGCAATCTGCGCTTCATCATTGTGCCGCTGGTGAATCCTGATGGCTACGAATACTCGCGCACCAAGGTGGGCAATCACAGTTGGCCTCGACTCTTACTAATCCCTCACTTTTGCAGAATCGCAATTGGCGCAAGAATCGACGCCCGCATAAGGCCTCCAAGATTGTGGGCACCGATTGCAATCGGAACTATGATATATTCTGGGAATGCGGGCCCACGAAAACGCATCGCAACACGTACAAGGGTGAACGACCCTTCTCGGAGCCGGAGACACGTGCCATGCGCAACATACTGGACAGCTTGGCGCCGAATCTGTTGTTCTTTCTGTCGCTGCACTCCTACGGCCAGAGCATCATGTATCCGTGGGGCTATTGCCGCGAGGCGCCGTATTATTGGCGCGAATTGCACACATTGGCTACAACCGGGCGAACCGCCATCAAGTCGTACAATGGACGCGAATATCGTACGGGCAGCATCAGCTGCCTGACGAAACGCACCATTGCCGGCTCCGTGGTGGACTATGTCTACGGTGTACTGAAGTCGCCAATGGCGTTGGTAATGGAGCTGCCGTCGCGCGAGCTGGGCTTCCAGCCGCCCGTCGAAATGATCAGTCAGATTGGACACGAGAGCTGGTTCGGCATACGTGAGATGTGCAAGAGTGCATTCGATTTGCGGCAGCGCATCCGGCGTGACGAGGAGCCCATGGCGCCCAAGCCGCCAGGTGCCAGCAATTCCGGCGGCGGCGATAGCCCCTCCAATGTTAGCAACAGCGAGGGTAAAAAGAAATCACCGCAAAAGAAGAAGATCAAGAAGCGTTCCAAGCGTTCGTTGCTTACGCAACATGCCGAAATCCTAGAGCTGCAGAAGCGGCAACCGATGCGACGGGCAAAGACGGCGCCGCTGAGAACACGTGATGGACACGGCGATGGGCCATCCTAATTGACTGACTACTGACTAGGCGATGTGTGTGTGTGCGTGGATACATATATGTATTAAAAGTATAGACAGACGTCCTGGGCTTGGTCCCAAAGTTTATTTCGCTTGGGCATTTTTATTCTGTATTTGTGTGTTGTCTGTGGTTTCTCCGTATTTGGTTGCTCCATTTGGACTTGATTTTGTACATTCTAAATCAAATGAGGAATATGCGCAATCTCTCTCCGATTGCTGCCTGTGGTGTGTGTGTGTGATTTCTTAAATACTAGTACAACAGTGCCAAGCATTCAGGTATTCACTTGGTCTCAAACGACGGCACTCGCGGTGCTGCATACTTCTGACGCAGCTTCTCGTACACCTTGCGATCCTGTCAAGCAATTTACATACACCGGAATTAATACAGTAACAGCTGATGGCACAGGGAACAGCTTACCTGCTCGCTCACTGACGGACGCAGCTGCTTGAGCGCCTCCTCGAAATGCTGTTTGCACACGCACAGTTCGTCGACTTTGGTGTTGCCGTTGTTGAGCGATTGGCGCAGCGAAAACATTGAAGCCTGCTTCACCAGACCGGCCAAATCGGCGCCCGTATAGCCATCGGTTTGTGCGGCCAGCTCCTCCAAATTGACATCATCAGCCAGCACCGGACGCTTGCCATCCTTTGTTTTAATCGCAATTGGTAAATTTTCACAGCAAACGTTCGTTTCTCTCTCAACTCACCTTGGTGGTGGCTTTAAGTATGTCGACACGCTCCTGCTCCTGCGGCAAGCCCACATACAATATAGTGTCCAGGCGGCCCGGACGCAATATGGCCGGATCTATGATGTCCGGTCGATTGGTGGCCGCCAGCACATAAACACCTTTGCGCTCCTCAACGCCATCCATTTCGGTGAGCAGCTGATTGACAATACGCGTGCCGGAATTGTTGCCATCGCCGCCATCCGAGCGCTTGGGGCACAGCGAATCGAACTCATCAAAGAAGATGACGCAGGGCGCCGAGTTTCTGGCGCGCTGGAAACAAGCGCGCACCGCACGCTCACTCTCGCCCACATACTGCACATGGAAGATGCATATTAGCGAAGGTAACTGACAATGGGAAAACGCTGATTACTTTACCATGTTCATCAATTCGGGTCCTTTGACGGATATAAAGTTAATGCCCGCCTCGTTGGCAATGGCCTTGGCCAGCAAAGTTTTGCCGCAACCGGGTGGGCCGCAGAGCAATACACCCGATGGCGCCTCCAGGCCGAGGCGTGCCAGCATCTCCGGATACTTGACGGGCGCCAGCACGGCCAGCTTCAGCTCTTCGCGTATGTCATGCAAGGAGCCAATATCATCCCAGGTGGTGTCCGGCACAGTGATGAAGCCTTCACGCTTGGCCGACGGCTGCATTACCTTAATGGCCGCCATAAAGTCATCCAATGTCAGACAGAAATGCGGATCGGCGAACTCCTCGGGCGGATTGTCCAGGAAATTCGTCAACTCGGCCAACGTCGGCTCGTAAAACTCATCGGCTTCGACGGGCGACTTAGCAACAGTTTCGACTTGCTGCTTGGGTTCAGGTTCCGTTACTTTTGCTGGAGCAGCATCCGCCTTGTCTTCCACGTCCATGGGCACAGCAGCTTCGCTCACATCATTTGCCTTTTCGCCATTTGTGGCTTCTGGCTTTTCGGCTTCCGAGCTTGGCTTGTCCGCAACTTGCGCGCTAGGCTTGTCGGTTTCCGCGCTCGCTTTGTCAACATCATCCGTCTTCTTCTTGGCCTGTTCATCCGGCTTGGGATCGTTGGGCTCATCGTCGTCCAGCGTGACAGTGGTCATGTTCAGTTCGCTGGCTGCGTGCAGCTCACGGAACTTTTTCATTGAACGCCGCTTAACGGCAATGGTGGCGGCACGCGAGACCAAGGCCAGCAGATCGGCGCCCACATAGCCGGGCGTCAGTTCGGCAATTTTATCGTAGTTGAGCTTAGGATCAATGGACAGACCCTCACACTGAATGCGTAGGATCTCACGGCGCTCCTTGCGCGAAGGAATGTGTATGGCAATTTCATGATCAAAGCGTCCGATGCGCCGCAGTCCCGGATCCAGTGTGTCCGGACGCGTTGTGGCCGCAATAACGACCACAGATTGGCCAAACTCGGTGCCCTTAAGCTGATCCAAGCTGGTTATGAGCTGTGAAACAATACGGCGTTCCATATCCTTAGAGGCCCACTGACGATTGCCGGCAATGGCATCGATTTCATCAATAAACAGAACACACGGCGAATTGTCAATGGCCTGTTCGAAGACATCGCGTATACGCTCCTCGGACTCGCCAGAAATGCCGCCAATCAGCTCGGTGGCAGGCACCTCCAGCAGCGGCATTTTCAATTGCTATTAAGAGCAAATTATCTATATTAATATGCATGAATTATTATGTTACGCCCGCTACTTACGCCCGCAATGGCGCGTGCCAGATAGGTTTTGCCACAGCCGGGCGGTCCGTGGAGCAGAAGGCCACGTGAGGGCAGCAAACCGAGTTGAAAATAAAATTCAGGTGATTTGATATGTATGAGCATTTCGCACAGTTCTTTAAGTGTGCCATCCATGCCGCCAATATCACGGAAACTCTCTGAAGTGCGTGCGATCTCCAGTTCCTTTTTATATTTGCGCACACGTATCTGACCGCGTTCGGAAAATTCACGCGAATGCTGCTGCTGAAATTGTGCATGCTGCTGATGCTGTTGATGCTGTTGATAGCCATGCGCTGGTCCATGATGCGGCGGCTCTTTGCCGGGACCAGCCTCAGAGTTGCCCTTGGCCAGGCTAGCCGTGACGGCCACAACTAAAAAGACGAAGGGAAATGGTTTAATAAGGGATTAAGCGACTGTGATCCTTTGCTACTTACACTTCTTGGGCGTCATTTGACCCGTTGCCGAATTAACGCCCGGCAGGCCGCCATCCTGACGTGAGGCTTCAAAGAGTTCAAATAGCGTGCTTTTATCTTTAAATGTGTCATAAATGCATTCAATTTTCGATTAACTTACATTTCTTGGCCTGCACGCCGGCCGGCGACTGGCCGGCATCCAGCGGACGCTTCAGCGCTTTAACGGGCGCTATAACAAGGGCACCAGTTCCACCACCATTTGCCGGACTGATGGGCCCATCATCGTTTTCATCCCCGCTGGAAATGTCGATTGGCTCGCTGCTCGTCGGCTTTGTGGCTGGCGAAATGCGAACTGTTGTTGTATTGTTGTACAATCCCTGCATTAAGTTATTCATGATGCTGTTATTGGGCGCGTCTGCTTCGTCAGATAGTTCGTCTTCGTCGTCGTCTGAGCTGCTCGCCTTATCCAAGTTATAGCTGTCCGATACAATAGAAAATGCTGCGCAGCCGAGAAAAGATAACAAACAGTGGAAAATAGTAGATGTTAACTACACGAGGCTAGACGAGAATGTGCTGCACGTTTTATCACAAAACTATTGTACACTTGGTTAGGGTATGGCAAACATCAGGCTAGCATTCCGGGCCGCAGTCTTGGGCCGCATGTGGCATGCTTTGCCCTGCTTGGCAGCCTGCCCCAATACATATAATTGCAATGTGGCAAACGGCATTTGTTACATTCGCCGTCGACGTGCGGGCATGTCATGCGCAGTAATTTAACAAATATTTACTTTCGGCTCTTACCTTGATGCACAAGTTGTCTGAATGGTCCGAATTTGCGACGTGAATATTCAGGATATTTGCGCATTAACTCTTTGGTCATCTGCTTCACATCCAGGTAGGTTTCGTCAATGTGCTCCTCCAGATACTGCCATTAAATGATAATGCAAACAAGAAAAAAAATTACAATTTGCTATCGTCTGTCAAAATCTAACCTTGCTTTTGTCTTTTTTTTTTCTTATTTTTTTTTCTGCTTGCAATTGACTTGCCGGTTGCTTGTCGTAAATTAACAATTGACAGCTGGCTAAATCCTTCAATAATTACCTGCTTAACACGATTAGTTATCAAATGGTCGTGCAGTAGTGGTTTGACTTTCTTCATATTCTGTGTGGGCAAATTAAGAACTGCCAAAATTCACACGAGAATTATTTCGCGTTAACCGCTAAAAATACGACGCCGACGCTTGGGAAGAAGAAGAAATGGCAATCGCCAGCCTCGTTGCACGCCAATTATCGAATATCGCAACAGTGTTCGCAATGCGTCAAACGTTATATATTCAAAAAAGAAAATTGCTTATTCGATAAATTATTTAAACAAATTGTTGATCGTGTACACTTATGACCGTTGGGCTTTCAAATGATTAATGACAAATTGAAAATGTGCTGGCAAAATCAGCTGCTTAGTTCGACTATAAATTATCGACTAGAGCAGTATTAAAATACTACTATCGATTAAGTTATCGAACGTAAGCCAGTGCGCGGCATAATTTGAATTCGAATATTTTTTGCACTTCACATTTGAATTTTGATTTATTGAATTTGTGCGTTCAACAGAAACTTTGTAACTTACGACTAAATAACTTAGTTGTTGTACTTGCTTATAATTACATAATAATGCATTAAATAGTCTTCAATTATAAAACTTAACTGAGCGGAATGAGGATTATCATCAATTAGCTAAACAATACATTTCATAGTACAATTCCATGCAATTGACTGATTGACGTTTATCCAGTTTGTTAACTAAAAGTTATTTATCTAAGAGAAGGAGGGCCTGCTGTGTGGAAGTTGAGACTACCCGAAAGGCACTACGAGTGGTATATACACATATGTATAGATCTATACATACATATATATATGATAATACAGAAACAGGTGCTGCAATGGGAAAGTAGTAGAAAGTATTAGTATCAATTTAAAAAGTACAAATTATCAGTCGGTGTGTGTTCGCGTGTCTTGAGTGTGTGTGTGTGTGTGTGTGTGTGTTTTTCTTTTTCCACAATGTTTTGATTCATTCATGGAACGACGATAAACAAATAAGAATTGTGTGTTACAGCTGAACAGACTCAGAGTACTTTCTTCTCTGTGAACGAAGTTCTCAAATCTGTTGCAACAACTGTGGCAACTGCATCCTTTGTTGTCCGTTTAAACTGTTGCGGTGCCTGCGCGGAAGACCTGCGTAATTTGCTGCCCATCGCACTATTTCTGTTATCCAAGTCGGAGTTACGAAATATGTCCAATGATGGCCTCTGCGAAACCTGCTGCCTGGCCAGCCACATCCGATTGGCAATAAACACAGCCTGATCCTTAATGCGAACGATCTGCTGCACCAAAGAATCCATCAGCGTGCCAGGCGTATCAAATTCATTCGGTATAATGCCATCCACAGAGCTCTCAAAGTAGCTAAACATGGGAAACCAGATGCGCGTGCGCGTCGAGTCGCTCTGCATGAGGGCCTAAAAGGATTTTGGTTGCTTGATTAGATGAGGAGCTACACGAGCTATCCAGAAACTTGCCCGATTGTTGGCCAGCGTGTGATAGTAGAGAAATAGACGTGAGGTTATATAAAAGGCGACAAACACATCGATCGAATAATGCTCATGGGCGGCCAGTATAAAGAAGATGCCGAACATGTTCAGCAGCCAGGTCAGCGTGTGCAGGAAGTAAAGATTGCGCGGCGTATCTGCAAGGTAAGAAAATCAAATTGAAAAAAATGCAATTAAATTGAAGCCGGATCCGGTTCTACTCACATTCCGTGATGAAAAAGTTGAGGAGCGTCAAAGCCACCGTATGACCGCTAAACATATAATCGCCGCACGTGCGCACACCCTGTATGGACATGCCCAGGCCGCTCCAGATGCGATAGGCGCGCGTCATCCGTATGACCAGGGCGCCGAACACATCCACAGTCGGATCATCGATGGCAAAGTCCTTCTGGTTGCACTGCAAGTGTGTGCCCGGCACACTCAGCGATGTGATCAGCATGGTGACGCACCGGAGCAGGAACACGGTGCCGGCCAGTGCAAAGAAACGGCGCAGCAGAACCATCCGATATTTGTGGAAGATTAGGACAACCAGCCAAATGGTGAACAATAGCGAACCGGTTATTTCGCACATATTGAAAGCCCAGGGTATGTGCGGCACATTATCGAGAAATATATCCGGCAGTGGGGGATAACGTTTCATATCGGGCACACGCTCGTGCACGATCACCATCACAAACGATGTTATCCAAGTGACCATGAAAGAGTAGCCTGCAATGGGACGCAATTGAGACATAAATAAACAAAAGTAATTAAGTCTCACAGCACATTTAGCGGAAAAGCTGATGATGCCTTCTGGGCTGGAACACTTGGTGGGGGACGTGACTGTTTGCAATTCGAGGTAGGCACATAATATGAGACCACTAGTGTAAGCTGTTATATCGAACAACAAATTATGCTAATGTAAACACTTGGCTAAATCACTAAGAAAGACAAATGATATATTAATTTAAAGCTTAAAACAATTACAAATTGGCGCTTCTATTTAAAACTGGCCAACGAGAGTGTGCCCAGAACTAAATATTTCTACTAAACAACAGATTGGTATATTTTAAAGTGTGCTAAAACACCTTTTTATGACTTAAAAGAACGCATATATTCTCAAATAAATGTTTAAATGTTCCAACTTAACAAATTTGATGACAAAGTGTGCATGCTCACTGCCAAAGAAGTGTACAACTTCTTGAAAATTTGTGCACGCAAAGTTACACAAAAACGTATATAAAAAGAAAACAACAACAATTATATCAGCGCATGCAGCAAACAAAACATAGAGAACGTAAGTGGGAGAGAGACACATGCATTTACATATGTATGCTGCTTAACCTCCAAATCGAAATAACAGCAGCAGCGCGCGTCACTGGCGTAATAAAACTGTAACTAAATTCATAATTAAAGTGACGTACACGCACGCATGCGACACACACACACATATGAATGTGCATGCGTTCAAGTTGGAAAAACTGATAAGGCAATGGGAGTCCAATTAGATACAGATATATGAATGAAATCAAGGTTATTTATAATTGGTCAAGCGACCGATTAGACCCACAAATTGACCCAGCCCCCGCCCCCCCCTCCCATACCTTTACCATAATGCTCACCTAAACTGATTGCGGTCTTAAAATATTCAGGCGCCTCCAAAAGCTTGCTCTTCTCCTGCTGTGCATCGGACATGTCCTGTGCCTCCGGACAGGGACACGTCTCGACGGCCACATTGGAGGCTAAAAAAACATTGCCAAGCGATGTCGGAGAACCCAAATTACTGGAAATGCCCAGCACCAGAGGCGCCGACGAGACGGCTGGGCCGCCATTCAACAGCACCTTCTGCGCCGGCTGCTGTAGCTGTTGCTTTTGCCGCCACTGTAACTGCATATTGTAAACCGTTAGCCAGAACTTTTTCATCTCGCCAAAGGTGAGCTTGTAGTTCAACTTGTAGCGCATATCGCGCACATCCTGTTCCGTCAGGGCGAGCAGCACCTGGCCGTCAATGGCCTCGTTGAGCAGACAATCGCGCAGCTCATCCGAGTAGGGCTCCACGGTGCCCATCCATTGCTGCACATCGTCCAGCTGCCAGCTGGCCACACGCAGCACATCCGGCGGCGATCTTTGTTTGTTCTGCGGGTTTTTGCTTTGTACTATTTGCTCCCAGAATGGGGCATCCGTTTGGGTCGCGGCTGGGTTTACTTCTGGCTGCGCCGGCGAGGCCTGCACCGCCCGTTGAGTCACCGTGTCACAAGTTTCACATTCTTCGTCGCACATTTTGTTAGCTTTCTTTTCTCTCTCACTTTTTTTTTTTTTGTTGAATATTTTTTTTTTTGTTAGAGATTTAGGCGATTATCAATAAATTTGGATTTGGCTATTGTCTGGGTTTGCGGTTGGGTTTAACGGCTGCAGCATTTTAAGCGCAGGCCGTGCCGTTTACGCTTTGGGTATACAGCGGCACATAATATTGAATTTCAATATTTGTTGTTCAAAACACACACGTTCAATTTAGTTGCTCTCGAAATTCCAGCGACTGCTTGTTGTGTGTTTGGCTGTTTCTTATTGTGCCAGTGTTAACAGACGCATGTTGGCTGTGCCGTGTGGAGCAGCGCTGTTATGTGTGGAGTGCGGCCAAGTTCACGTGAGCGTTAAGCTGCGCGCAGCCAACTTCACGCTGTCTGTAACAGTGACACGGCTTAACACTATGTAAACGGTCTTGTAACTTTGCGCCAATTTTGAATATAGTTAAGAATGTTGTATATGTTCAGCTTTTGTTAATTTGAGTTAAAACTACCATTTGGTTTCCTCAATTCATCGCTTTTTCTTTTTATTTTAATATAAAAATGGCATTTCTTTACTAATATTAAGTTTAAATTACTAATGTAAAGTATTTATGATCTCGGCAATTGAAAAATAGATGTGTGTGTGTATATATCAAGTGAAAAATATTTATAATGAACATGAAACGTCTTCTCAAGCGTGAACATATATATATATTTATATATGAAAGCGTTCAATATGACTTAAATCATAAATGTTCAGTTTACTTGTTTTAAAGCAATTTCAATATTGCAAACGAATTATTATTCTGGTGTTTTCATTACTTTGCAAAAATGTACATCAAAGGAAGAAACAATTAACAAACGATCGTAGAAAAACAAATTCATATTTGATTAAGATACATAAACTTATTTCTCTCATTTCTTTTTCATTTTCTTTTTTTTTTGTTTTTATACAGATGCTGTTCACTCACTTCAATTGTGTTTAGGAAAATGATTATGCAAAAATAAACTATGAAAAAGTTATTTCATGAGTAGTTGATTTTTCTTCCTCTTTTAGTTTCGTCAGCTTTCAATCATTGCTATTTCGAAATACAATATAGTTTTGATACCTTTTACAATTATACCTTATACGCTATGTACCTAACATATATACTTTTTTGTTTTACCAATTTTTTTTTTCTATTTTTTTTTGCTTTTTATATATACGAAGCTACTGTTGAGGTTTCATTGAATTGTGTGTGTGTGTGTGTGTGTTGTTTTGCTTTCTTTTTTCCTTATAGATGTGTTTTTGTTGCACCTTTTGCAGTGTGTTGATTTATTTTTTATATATTAGCTTTCTGTGTAGTATTGTTCATACGTCCTATATAGATATTTGTCATTTTTATTTAGAATTTTCGTTATGTGAAAACGTAAATGTAACAAGTTTGTTTTGTTTTGTTTTGTTTGTTTGTTGTTTGCTTTGCGCTTAAGCCGTAAAGTATTTCTTCCCGCTTTGTTGCTTTTTCAATACATTTTTGTTTTGTTTTTTATATATGTAATTCTAGTTTTAAACTATAACTCTTTTTATATTTCAAAATATATAATAAACACAATGCAGTTGTTTTTTTTTTTTTTTTTTTTAAATGAGGGCTTCTATGTTGTTGTTGTTGTTGTTTTTCTTTTAGCATTTGCTGTTGCGGTTGGAACCACCGTCACATAAGATCGTAGTGCATTTCATAGTGAGAATTTGGGCTGCCTTACGACAAATCTGAAAGTAAATGCGATTAATTAACGAAATTAGGCCAGATATTCTAGGACTTACAGCTGGGCGCTGCCTCGTAACGACGCTGGATCTGATCGTACGTGAATTTCACAAAGGCATCATATTGCTCGGCCAATTTGGTGGTCAGCACCGATTCGTAGCGTTCGCGCAGCTGATCCTCGCGCTCCTTGATCATGCCCTCGCATATTAGCTGCACCTGTTTGAATGTGAACAAGGCCTTCTCGCCATGGTGGCGCATCATCAGATGACTCGGTGGGCTATCCGGGCGATGCGGACTCTCCGGTCCCATTTCAGAACCGCTCGACTCCGAGTCCTGCATACGCTCCAATGCGGCCGATGTAATAGGCAATTGCTTGCGCTTGTGCAGTCTTTTGATTTCATTGCACAAATTCTCAGCCATTTTATCTGCAAAACAACAAGCCAGCGGCATCAAATGATAGGTGTCGGTGCAGGTGGTATATTAATAAGATGCTGGCTTACCTGGCGACATCTTGGCCAATGTAGACTCCAGGAACGGACTGGGCTCATTGCTGTCTTTGGCATAGCGATTGCAAGGCGTCGTCGAGCTGTTATTGGCGGCATCATTGCTGCCGCTGCGCGAGGGCGAGCTGCTGCCGGATTGCCCGAAAGGATTGCAGCGACGACGTTTCGTTGGGCGCTGGTTGAGCGACTCCCAGTCCAAGGCGCGTTTGAGTGTTGCACATGCCATATTTATGATATAAATGTGCTCCGTTAACTTGCTCTAAATATAATAATATATCTTTATATATATATATATTCAATAGCTTAGTTCTTAAATTTATTGTTCTTATTTTATTTGATTTATTTTTGCTTATTATTGCCACACAGTTTGTTGGAAGCGTTCGCTGTGAATGAAAAAAGAAAAACAAATATGGAGAACAATCAATTGCAGAAACTAGAGAAGCGCGGCCAACTGAGACTAAATGTAATTCAAAAATGTGAAACTGGTTTCAAGGAAAACAGGATTCACCTGACACACACACACTCGCACAGTACAAAAGAAAATGGTGCTGCGATTTATGGCTTGGCAGCTGCTGCCTTGCTGCTTGGGCGACGGATAGGGCATTAAAAAGAAACCGAAGCAGCGATGCCCAATTAAAGGGAGTGTTCGCCACAAGCCAGCAACAACAACTTTCCAACACTACCACTGCTACAACAACAACAAGAACAGTACGTGCATAGCAATGCACACACGCAAGGAAGAGACCAAAAGGCAAAGAAAACTACAAGCGAGGCGAGTCAACCACCAAACACGCGCGCACACACACACAGACAGACAGGCACACACACATGCATACTACTAAACTACAACAATAAAACCGCGTATGCGTATCCTTCGAGCTGTACCAGCTGTTTTTACACAGTAACGCTGTCTCACTAATGCACACACACACACACACACACGCACATGCAGCTAATGAACCCAAATTACATTTGTATGGGCATGCGTGTGTAGCTTGCGCGTTTGTGTTCTGTCGTCATTTACAGTATTTTAAAGATTTTTAATAATGAATTATTAGTGCTTTTTTACGTGACGAACGCCATGCCAAAAGCAAAAATAAAAAAAAAAAAAGAGATTCGTTTCAAAGAAAATAAAATGACAGCAGCTTATACGCTGAATGGTTGTCTCGCTCTCTCGCACAAACACACACACACACTTGCAGCTGTGAGTTGGAATTTTGATTTCGTGAAATTTTTAAAAATGGTCGCAACGCATATCATTATCAGGGCTCTTAAGATTTCATTAAAGAAAAAAATGACAAGCTGCGATATTGTTGTTCACAATTGCACTTACATTGATTGATGTTTGCTTCTGCTATAATTTCTGCACCACTTCACACGCGTTTTATTTATTTTTTTTTGTACATACGCACGAACGTTTCAGATTCAGTTGAATTGTAAAACTAATTGTATTGCTATTGCTTATTGGGTTGAGCAGTATTTCAAAGGCCACTGAAATGCACTGTGCTGTTGTTTGAAAGTGTTACAAAGTATTTGATTTGTGAAATTTCTGTCTTTTTGCGATGTAATTTTCAGTTTTTTGTCGAACTCTTACGAAAAATGGACGACCGATGCATGCGTGACGACGATTCGTGAACAGAGAGGAGAGTTCAGCGATGGCAGAACGACAATTTCCACGCCGTTATCACAGATGCAGCCCTGTTATCGACGCTACGAGCTATCGATTAACTGAACATGTTACGTTTGGTATGCAGCTCTTTTAAATTTATTGCTTGCTAAGCAAATTTCGGATTTAAAGTTATTTCATTCCACAAAACCAAAATCTTCTTATACATGCTTAAGGTATTTGTTCAATAATAAAACAGGCTTAATCTGTAGGGAAAGCAATTTGCAATGCGCTCATTTTGCGGTCATGCGATGTACATGCAAGTGCTTAAACAAATTCTTTATACAAATATCGAATTCCTACCAAGTGAGTTGCTCAAGCTATGCAGTTAGTATTTTTCGTCTTAAATATTCGTATTTTCACCCCGCCTCAGTTAGGTCACATTGGATCGACCGAATAAAGTAGGCATAAAAGGCAGAGCTCGAAGTGAATTTGTGCGATTTATATTATTAAATATTTTTACACTTTTATAGAACACATTTTGTATACGCTTTCACAGCCAATTTACAGCGTATCTCAACGATAAGCCCAGTGCGTGCATATTTTTAAACAACATTACGTATCGCGGTAGGGGCCAAGAACAGACACAGCAAAAAGCAGAGCAAAGAAAGAAAGTTCTAAAAATATTTTTATCGTCGTGAAAGTCGATTTTATTTCGCGCAGCCAATAAAGCTTTAAATTAAAGACCAGCGGCGCATAATTAATTGCAAAAATGGTATTGAAAGTGTACGTCAGCGGCATGTCCGGCAACAAGGAGGTAAGTGCTGCAGTTTCGGTGTGGGCGGGGCAGCTGAAAAGCACACACATAATGACAAATGCACAGACATGTATGCATCTGTGTGTGTGTGTCTGTCTGATTGAATTGTAGGAGTCAGTGTAATGTTAATGGAATGTTGCCTAGTTAGCGAAATAGACATAAGGAAATACCATATTGCATATTCTATTTTATGCACATTCCTTTTGTTTGTTTTTGCGCTTGAATGTGCGCGTGTGTGTGTGTGTGAACGATGATGTAGTACGTACAGTCGAAACGTCATCTCTTTAGCGTTTGGCCTCTCCCAACAAAACAGAACAGCAAGTGGGTATTTTGATTGGCATACGCATGTGTGTATGTGTGTTTGTGTGTGAGCGAGCGTTTTGATGGTGGTGGCAAGAAGCAGCGCAACGACCGCAAACATTTCCATATAAGCTTATTTGTTTGTCTGTGTAAACGAATTCATTGATCACAGTTTTTCATATGCGTGGGTACGGGTTTGTAAGTGTGTGTGTTCGTCTGCATGATTCATTTGTGTGACACTCTTCTTTTTCCCTCTCTTTGTTTGATTCGCCTTTGCCAATAAGAACTCAAACAACGGTCATTGTGCAAAAGCAACAACGGCAACGCCCGTAGATGAGGGGGGTTGGGCGAAAGAGCAAAGCTTAAATGCGATTTATGTTCCGTTGTTTATTGTTGTAGACTTTTGAGACTGTCAGCTTCTAAAATAGGGTATGTAGACATTGTTGCATGTGTGAGTATATAGGCAATAAATAAAAACAACAGTTTATCAAGAATTAATTACAAGCATGCACTGATAAGTGCTGGAAGTGCGAGTGAGAGATAGTTTGTGTGTATATGTGTGTGTGTGTGTGTTCATGTTTAGGCTTGCCGGCATTTGAAAACCAGGGCTGGGCCAGCTAATCAAATTAACAGCTAAACTTATTACTGTTATGTGCGATTTTAGGTGAAAAAACGCCAACAGCGCGTTTTGATGATCCTGGACAGCAAGAACATTCAGTACGATACCGTTGACATCACAGAGCCCGGCAAGGAGGGCGAAAAGGAGCTGATGCAAAACAAATCGACTAGCAATGGCGGCACAGTCAGCGATCCAGAGCCGAGGCATCCATTGCCGCCGCAGATCTTCAACGATGACGAATATTGCGGTGATTACGATGCCTTCGATATGGCCAACGAGATTGATACGCTGGAGGTGTTCCTCAAGCTGGCGCCAGCTGATACAACGGCCGTGAGCAGTGCTCAAATCGAACTGAAGCAGGAGAACGGCGTCGCCAAGGAGGAGGAGGAGAAGAAGGCTCCAGCGGAGGGTGAAGCTGAAGCTGAAGCTGAATCTGGCGCTGCCGAGGAAACGGGCGAGGCGGACAAGGAGAAGGAGAAGCCAGAGGTTTGAGCGCTTTGAGCAATTTGTACTTTTCTGTTTACTGTTATGACGCGACAACAACAACAACAACAACAATAAGCCTGCACAGAAGCAACCACAATGACAACAACAATAACATTAACATTAACAGCAACTTCTACTAATGAGACGCAATTCAAGTTCGACGCCATCCACGTTAACAGTAGCAATAACATCAAAATGTACTCTAACAGCATTTCGGCAATTGGGCGCAATATAACGGTTTGTTCGAGCTTCTATGTTACCACGACTGCGGTTCTTTAAGTTAAGCTACGATATTTATATATAAAGCGCGTATATATATATATATAGATATATATATTTATGTCATGCATACTACACACTAATTTAATGAAGTGATTGTGTTCACGCTGCGGTCAAAATTACAACTTTTAATCAAAATGCATATTTATTTATAATAATACACTCACACACTTTTGTATGTCTGGTAACATCATTTGTATTGATAACATTTTGTTGAGAAACACAAACACTCGGAAAAAATTGCATATTAATTTAATACTAAATTGAATAGAGTGTATTTAACTATGATCTGTACGATTTGTGCGGCTGAGTTATGTTAATGCGAAAACATAAAAATCCGCTGAATATATAAGTAAATATTTAATAAAAACGAAGTATATTTGTATTTACTAAAAAAAAAACCACCAAAAGCTTTTATAACCCAAACTTAACACAAGCCGCGTCTCAAAAGCTCCAGCGTTTAGCAGTTGTTTAACAGCGCATGTAAGATAACAGCGATCGATTGTGTAAATGCCAATGTTAACATTATGCGCTCGTCCATTTTCAAAGCAAAAGGAAGAAGATGGCGAGCAAACGAGCGAAGATAAGGAGAAAGCAGCTAAAGAGGGCGATGATGCAGACAAAAAAGATGAGAATAGTGAAGAAAAGGTAAAACCTAAATGTTGTGTAATGCATGCTCGAATGTTAACATTAGACCTGTAAATGCGATCGAACAGCTAATCAGGCACGTTTCTGCTCTAAAGTTAAAGCTGATTTGAATAGTTTTAGAGAATTTTTACCGATTTTGTATAGACATTTAACCATTTTTACCATCCCCTGCCACACCCACAACAACAATACTCACTGAAATGCACCACATCCGCAATTTAAACACCAATCCCCACAACAGACTGAAACCTCAGGAGAATCCGAATCCGAAGAGAAGAAAGCGGAATCCACAGGTAATGTAAAGGTTGCGATCCCTTGGGACACTAATCATAATTTTTCCCCGATGCCGAGGCAGACAAGGCGGACGATAAGAAAGAGAAAGATGCAGAGGAAACCGATAAAAAAGATGGTGAAGGTAAGGAAACGAAAGAAACTGCGGAGAATTCGGGAGACGAGTCGAAGGAAAAGTCCAAGGAAGAGAAGTCTGAAGATGCCGAAGACGAAACGAAGGAGAAACCGAAAGACGCTGAAGAGAGTAAGAATGATAAAACTGAAGATAAGTCAGAAGAGGTAGACAAAGAAACTGAAGAAAAAGGAGAAGAGAAAGTAGAACAAAAAGAAAGTGAAGAAAAAGAAGAAGAACAAAAGGTAGAAGAACAAAAAGAAGCTGAAGAAAAATCCACCGCCGATTCAACTCCAGAGGAAGCGAAACCGGAAGACTCCTCAGCGGAAGAAGAGAAAGAAAAAGAACCGAAAGAAACTTCAGAAAGCGCAACAGCCGAAGAGGTTGAAGAATCAGAGAAAGACGAAGTAGAGGTGGAAGAATCAGGCAAGGAAAAAACGGAAGATGAAGTAAAAGCCGCCGAAGAAACTGAAGCAAAAAGCAAAACTGATGATGCTACAACAGAAGAGCAAGAAGTCGAAGAAGAAAAGAAAGAAGAAGTTAAAGAATCAGAAGACAGTTCCGATAATAAGGTTGAAGTTGACGAAGAATCGAAAGAAAAAACAGAAGAGAAAGTTGAGGAAGAATCGAAAGAAAAAACAGAAGAAGATAAAGTAGAAGAAACTACGGAAGATAAAGTAGAAGAAACTGCGGAAGATAAAGTAGAAGAAACTACGAAAGAAAAAGTAGAAGAATCTGAAGAAAAACCAGAAGAAACTGCAGCGGAAAAGAAAGAGATTAAAGATGACGAAGCAAAAACGCCCTCCGACGAAGAAGAGAACAAAGAGGAGTAACTAAAAAGAAAGAAATGGACGAACCACAAACTTACGAACGAAATGAACCACAACACAATGAACCAAACCCACGCACACGCACACACATAAAGAAAAACCGCCTCGCCCACACACACACACACACACATGCATACACGCACACATTAGCAAATAGTGAACATGTATTGTAAATAAGAAAACAAGCAACAAAAACAAAACCAAAGAAATTACTAATAAAACAAAAAATCTCTGGTGGAGGGTAATGAGAAAATGAGCGCAAAGCAAACAGAATTTACGCGAGTTTAAAACTTTCTTCCACAGCTAAAAGCAGCAGCAGAAAGAACAACAACAGACGCTCCGGTTCCAGTTAGAGTTCCGATTGGAACCGGAACCGGAACCAGCTCGACTTCGGCTCAGCTTTTGGACAGCGAACGCGAAGCAGCTGCGCAGTAGAAGAAGAGCAAGAGGCAAAGGCACCGTTATCTCAACTTCTTATCTTGTTTTTATTTTGAAAAATCGTTTTTTTTTTTTGTTTTTGTTTTGTTTTCTATATTCTATGTTTCTTTTCGTTTCTTTTGTATCCAAATAATTAAATATACAGTACATTTATATAATTACGTTTAGTACAGAAACATTAAAATGAAGTATTCTTTTACTTATTTATTTACGCTCTAGTTTCGGGCTCTTTATCCATGTTCGTTTGTCTGTTTCGTTAATTACAAAAACTAGTTAAAAAGAATATGCGAATAGTTTTCGCAAACGCAAAATCATTTACTAATTAAAAAAAAAATAAAAGTTTTGGGGCAAAACAAAATCAAAAACTCGTTAGATTAAAAGACGATTGTTCTGTGGAGGGGGGGGGGGGGGGGGGGGGCGGGGGGGAAATTCGCTCAATGTCATGAGAAACTCTCTCACTCTCTCCCTCTCTCTCTCTCTCTGTGGCTGTCTAGTCGCTGTCCTCCTCGTCGGATGTGTCCGTTGTGTAATCGCTTAGATTCTCCTGCTGATCATTGTGCTCCGGCTCCGATTCGCTGAGATCCCATTGGGGATGATCTGTGGGCGGTGCGGGCGCCTTTTGCACGTCCAGCTTCAGCTCCTGCTGCTGATCCATGCCCAGATACGAGTCTGTTAAGGAAAGGAAACATGTATTAGTGGAATCGTTTTGGATTTTTGGTGCCGGGTTGGGGCGCACTCACCGGAACGCAGGCAGACCGTAAAGGTGTAGACGCCGGGCCAACGCGGCGCCGTAAACTTAAGCTGTATCTCCTCCTTCTCGACGAGATTTGTGACATGGTAGGGCGCCGTCAGTAGCGTGCGCGACTTGCGATCGCATATGTATGTCCACCAGTATTCCTGCTTCTCCTCGGGGAAGAACGGACAGTGCACCGTGTGCGACATACGGGATTTGCCCTCGAGGCGTTCCCGCTTGTTTAGCTTGGCTTGCAGGCGTTCCCATTCCTCGTCATCATCGTCGTCCAGCGAGGAATTGTTTTTGTTTTGCTTATCCTCATCCTCGGAGCCGGAGCCGGCTGCAGACTCCACATCGCTGTGCTGCTCGCCGGCCTCTGACTCGGCATCCGAATTGGCTGCCGTTTGTTCATCCGTCGTAGTCGAGGAGACGGTGGCTGCCACAGCTGCCGCCTTGGGCTGCGTCTTCTTCTTCTGATTGTTGGCCGGCTTCTTGCCGCCCTTGCCCTTGCCGCCCTTGCGCGGCTTGGCCCAGGCGGAGGCCTTCTTGACGGGCACCGCAGCGGCGGCGGCAGCGGCTGCTTCATCCTCATCGCCCGCCGCTGCCTCCTCGTTGGCCTCGTCCTTGATGCCCTGCTTCTCGGGCACCTTGGTGTCGCCGAACAAGGTTCTCATGTCCTTGCGCTCCAGGGTCACGGTTACCGTTACGATCGCACCAGCCGTAACCACATTGGTGTTCTCATCGTCGATCACCTCGCAGCGTATGGAGAAGTCAATCAGCGGCATCTTGCCCAGGACACGCATTATGTTCTCGTACTCAAAGTCTGTCAGGTTCTTGAGCAGCATGCGGCTCTCCTCCGGCTTCAGCTGGGCGAACTGTTGCAAGTTCTTGACATGCCGCTTCTTGTTCATGAAATACAAATGATCCTCGGTCAGATGGGGCAGCTGCAGCAGCGGCGACTTGAACTCCCACAGACCCTGGATAATTATTGGCGACATTTTCATGCAGTTCTCGATGGTCTCGATGCTGGGCAGACGGGGCACACGACGGGCGTAGGCCATCATCACCAGCTGATGGACACAGCTGACCATCTCCTGCACCAGATACGGACACTTCTTCACAATAAACTGACGATCGCGCTCCAGCGTCTCCGGATTGAGTGGAATGCGTGAGAGATGGGCGTGCAGAATGGCGCGCGCCTTAATGGAATACATACGGCAGAGCGGATGCTCCTTGCACTTCTCGTTGAGATTGGGCAGCTGCCGAATGAGCTGTGCGGCAAATTGAAATAATTGAGAAACGTTAGTTATGTTAAAGGATTTAACAGTGCTGTTAGTTTACAGCTGTTTACATAAAGTGTACATAAGCTGAGCATGAAATTGAAATTATTGAGAAATGTTAAAAATGTTGAATAATTTAACAGTTCCGCTAGCGCGCTGTTAGGTTACAGCTGTTAACATGAAGTGTTCATAAGCTGTGCAGGAAATTGAAATGGAGATATGTTAATAATGTCTAAGGATTTAACAGCTCTGTTAGCGCGCTGTTAGGTTACAGCTGTTAACATGAATTGTACATAAGTTGTGCAGGAGATTTAAATAATTGAGAAATGTGAATAATGTCTAAGGATTTAACATTGCTGTTAGTTTACATCTGTTCACAGGAAGTATAGATAGGCTGTGCAGGAAATTGCAATAGAGAAACATCGATAATGTCTAATAATTTAACAGCTCTGCCAACGCGTTGTAATGTTACAGCTGTTATGAACTTAACAGTTCTGCTATCGCGCTACTAAGTAACAACTGTTATCATAAAGTGTGCATACATGTTTACACTCTGCATTGAACAGCTCTGCTAGCACGCTGTTACGTTACAGCTGTTATCGTAAAGTGTACATTTATGTTAACATTCTGCATTAACATGATTTTCCATACGTACCGCCGGGACCTCGTCGTTGTCCGACTGGCGCTCCACCACCTGTGAATTGTGGCGTTTGTCAAACTCCAGACTGGCCGCCAGCACCATCAGGGCGCGTTTGAGCAGCATGTGGGGTGTCTTGTGTATGAAATAGAAGTACATTTGGGTGGTGTCCAGCAGGACTTTGTCGCCGCTGAAGCGTATGGAGCGATACCACCAGACGCCCACAGCGGAGGGCATGGCCACCATAAAGACCAGTCCATAGAGACCCAGGACCCAAACGCTGTTCTCCTTCTCAACAATCCACGAGGGCAACGCAATGCCGAAGGACATGGCACCGGGGCCATCGGGATTGCCGTATTTCTCATAGTTCTCCTTGGCCACATCATCGGTGAGCGCCTGATAGGCTTTGCTCAGCATCATGAAGGACTTCTCATCGCCCGTCTCCTTATCGGGATGGAGTACCTTGGACAGCTTGTAGTAGGCCTTCTTGATCTCTGCCTGCGTTGCTGTCGGCGGCACATTCAATATCTCGAAGGGATCAAAGCTCGCCATCTCGTAGTCGAACTGGGAGACGCGATAGGTGAGGAACAGAAGCAGCGCCCAGCCGAGCACAATCGCCAGCTTGATGGCCAGCGATTTGAGTGTGCGATAAGGCTCTGCATTGGCCAAAATGATCTTCTTCTTCAAGCAATCTGGACACTGGCATTCATCCTTCTGCTTGCCGAGATCTGTGCGAAAAAGAGGTCAGAGATTAGAATCGCATGCGGTGGGAGAGAGAGGAAGGGAGAGGGAGAGATCGCGAGAGCCCTGCATGTGCTTGTCTCTCTTTAAGGTGTATGCATGTGTGTATGTGTGTGTCTGTGTGTTCCATTTGTGAAGTGAGCTGGCTTAAGCTGTTGTTGTTGTTGTTGCAGCAGTCACAGCTTTCACCAACACTGTTGAGCGCTCAATTGACAGCACTGTTAGAATAACTTAATGGAACGTGTCCATTTGCAACACATGTTTGTATTTGGGAAAAACACACACACACAAAGACACGCATACACGCATAGGCTTAAAGAGAGAGCTGCAGTCTGATTACAATCGGCGACACTAACCTTCTTTCTTTTTACGTGGCCAATAGTAAATCGTAGTTGGTATCAATACCAATGCTAAAAACGATAACACAAAGTAATAAAACGTGCCGCCGCTCTCATCATATTGAAATTTTTGACCCGCCATTTGAAAAGTAGTTGTTGCTGCCTCAGCGCCGACCCCCTAATTATTTACAAAAGCAGCGTTGGTTTGGGTTTGGGTTTTGGTGTGGTCTTTTTTTCCAAATCGGCTGGGGCCCCAGCTGATGTTTGGCACGCTGGCAGCTTGTAACTGCACGCGTTTCCAATGTTTTTATCCAATATGTTGGATCCAAACGTTGAGGAAGTCTTCGGCTAGTCCCAATTATAATACACAGCGGTCAATTGCACCATTAAATGCCGCGAGTTTAAAAACTTATGTATTTACAGCAGTCGTCAAATGACACGTCTGTACAGTGTGACCAAGCTGGATTGCATTGGCAAAACCGCAAACAGTAAGACCGTTTAGAAAAAATGTAGCATAAATTCCAGGGTAATTTGCGCGCTTTAGGAGTGCAACTTAGTTAAGTTTTTTGTTTTGCTGGAAGTTTAATGTATGTATGTTAATTGATGCAAACCCTCCGCAATGTTTTCTTGTTTAATTTTCGCTGGAAATTTATAGTTTTAAGATATAACGAAATTTCGACTAAATCTCCATTAAAACCGTTTGTCTAAACACGTCGTTAAAAGTTTAATTTTATATTGTAATGCTCGTATTGTACGTTTACTAATCAGTTTTTTGTTTTTATTTTTGGCAGCTATATTTAAATGATGTTGTTAATTAGGCATTTTAGCAGTGCGGCCACACTTTTCATTTAAATCGAATAAAATATCGATATATAAACTGTATAGCTTGGGGATATCGATACCACCTTCAAATTTCTGGCCACCGCAAGAATCTGATTATCACCGCTAACAGAATAGTGAGCGCGTTGAACGCGCAATGAGAAAAATTTTGTTCGCTGTCCAGCAAATTTGAGTATTTAATACAAGTGGCTGATTTTAATAGTTTTATAAACAAAACGGTGCATGTATAACAGATGGTGTGAGATATTCAAGCGTCATTAAAAAAGGACAGCAGAAGCGAACGCAACTAAAAAAAAATATATGAAAAGAAAAGCAAGGTGCCAAAGAAGAAAACCAGTTATGTATGCCGAGTTGGTGTATTTCCTTTTTGCTGGGCGAAAAATAAACATTTTTATGGCAAAAAAATGTTAAATGAAAGTGTTGTGTGCGCGTGTTTTAACGCTTTTTAATTATTTGGGCACAGCAATAGCAAGTGAAAAGTGACAATAAAAGGCAAGTTTATAACCAGACAAGGTTACATTTTCCATGACAACTTCCAAAACCAGAGACGGACCCCCTCCTCCAGTTTAGTTAAAACAACCGAAAGCCGATTTCAAGCGAATTTCTTGCGAAAAAACAAAAACCAAAAGTAAGTACAAGCCAAGCATACATACTTACAAATGCATGTGCATACTTACCGTAAAAAATATGTGTATATATATGTATGTAGCTGTGTGTATGTATGTGTGGGTTTTTGGCGTCGTCAAAGAGGCGGCGGCCGCCTCTGCGTCTGTGTTTGTATGTGTGGATGTGTGTGTGTGTGTGCATAGGCAGGTAGAAGAGCTAGATAAATAAGACTCTCAAGGGCAGCTAAGAAATTATATGTGTGATTTGTTCTTGTGCGAAAAAAAAAAAACAAAACAGTGTGGCGCATCTTGCATCTCGCTCCCTCTCGCTGGCCATCCTGGGGCAGGTGGTTACAGTTATTTGCGTTTGCCAAATTATTTTTGATGTTGCTAATTTTGGATGCCCGTGGCCTAATGCTATGCTAATTTTATTTGTTTATATTGGTCGCTCATCCCTTTTGTTTTGTGCGCATTTTATATAATTGCCGAATCGAAATCTTGGTTAAGAATGAAAAATCGATAAATCAGCGCCGCTGCAGCTGTTGGGCGATGCGTGGGCCGTGGGAGCCCACAGCGTAATTGGGGTAGGAATCGCATACACATACACATGCACATGCATACACAGAGTTGTATTTGTATGAGTGTGTGAGTCGCATATAAAACAAATAAGCCGCTTAATGTAAAAACGCCAACGATGCCCAACGTATTTTTGGCGGCTGCAGCAAAGCCTCTCACACACACACACGCATACATTTATGTGTGCATATGTATGTACGCATGCAACATTTCGTGCATTTCCCTTATGCACTTGTGTGCAAATAAGAAAAATCAATAGAGCTGTAAAATAAAGTGCCGAAAGCAAGACTCAGCCTAACAAAAACAGTTAAATGTGTACACATGTTATTAACCCAATTTCAATATGGCAGACAAATGTAGCGGCATTAGAGAGCAGGCCCAAGTGCGAGTGAGAGAGCGAGAGAGCAATGACTAGTGAATAAATTAAAAACGAACAGAAAAAAAAACAAGCTGCAAAACAACAACTAAGAATTTGGTGAATAGTATTAACAAAAAAAATGGTGTGACTCATGCGACGTTTTAGCCACATTTCAAATTAAGTGAATTCAAATTAAACAGTTTTCAACTGTTTTGTTTTTCTCACACGCTGCGTGAATGACAAATGACGATTGGCCAGCCCATTGGAATTGAGCGTGGGCCCTGAGCAGCTGTCCAAAAGTCAAGTGGCTTTCGCATGCGTCAGCGTAGTAATGCATTCTTATCGCCGTTAAATAGAAAAGTGCAGCGCAGCAATTTAAGAGTTTTCTAGCCGCAATAACCGTTTAATTTTCGCATATGATATCATATTTGTTGATTGTTTCAATTAAAGTGCTGGCCCGCAGAAAAGTTATGCGGAAAGCATGTGTGAAAAATTGTGCTATTTATATCTGTATATTGAACTTATCTCTTTTCATTTTAAACGTTTTTCTGCCGAATTTCCGGCAATCGATCAGCATTTATATCGCATGCGATATTTTCTGTTGCGACATCGTTTACATGCGGCGCTTATCACGCAGACAAAACTCATGCTTAAAGTGTCAGACGCATTTATTTACTTATCGACGAACATGCAAAGGGAGGCATTGTCATTATCTGTGATTTAGAGATGAGCAACTTATCGCGTGAGTCATTGCCAGATGTGAAGCCAACTGACTAATTATATGAATAATGTGTACTTAGTAAGTAACCAACAACGAACTGTTGTCCATTTACGATACATTATCGCAGTCACGGTCCCATCACTAAATGCTGACCTAGAATTGTTGTCCACCATCTCGCTCTCGCTCCTTCTCGCTCGCACAATGTCGTTCACTTATTTAATTGTCACGTCCATTGTAAACTGCGCTTCTGTGGCTGCCAAAGAAATGACGCCATATTGCGTGCCACACTCTCCACAAGCTTGCCACTCGTGTGTGTGTGTGCGTGTGTGAATGGATTGCGAAAGGGCTAGTGCGCTAACAGCTGACATTTGACAAAAGAAAATAACAGTCATAAGTTGGACATATGTTTTTACCGTTAGGTTGACACCCATATCTCCAAATACATGTGTGTGCATGCCCATGTATGCTTAAATAACTGCGCCAACAACAAATGCAAAACATATTTTTTCAATTTGTTTAATCAGTATGAAATATGCATATTGAGCTGTAGAATTTAAAGATTACGTCGACCTAAACAGATGTGTGGGTGTGTATTGTATACAAACATGAATAGGAGCATTGTATGTGTGTACACAATATATCGATATGTGTGCATGTATGATACATACATATGTATGTATGTGTGTATACAATGTAGTGTTTACTGTCATATCTGTCAGGTTTTGTTTTTGCATTTGACTTGCCGTCAAAGAACTTGCACTAGTAAAACGGGCCTTACTTTGATCTCCAAATGAATTTAAGAGAGGCAGCGAGAGAGAGAGCGCGAAATGTGGAGAGTTCGATTAGTTTTCGTCTGTGTTTGTTCGTCTTCGAACTGTTTGTTGTTGTGTTTATTTGCTTTTTGTTTGTTTGTGTGAAAGTGAGTCTAAATGCGTTTGGACATACGTTACAGCCGCTCTGTCTTCTGTCTTATCAGCATTCTCTCTTCTCTTTTCTTTTGCTTTCGAAGTTCGTTGCGGCTGCCCATTGCTTAGGTCATTTTTCCATTACAAACAAAAATTGTTACCACTTGCGACAGAGCTGATTTGATTATTTCAATTAATTTATATTTTGTGTTTATTGGCTGCTTGCTTCATGCAACGAATTCGCTGTGCCACTAAATTGTTTACCCTTTCGCGTAGCTAATTAATTATTTTTAATTAGTTTATCACTCTGGGATATCGATGTCTGCGCACATTTAAAACTTAATTAGTTTAATGGCACACATTGCAAATTAATTTGAAAATTGTTATACACGCTGCAAATGATACACTTCTTCCGCTCTCTCGCCCTCTCTATCTCTCTCACACAAAGACACACACACACGCGCGCGCCTTAATTGTTTTCAGATTAGTTTCAGCTGGGTGTGGCCCACGCGGCGGGTGTGAACAATTAGACAGCGGCAAGCAGCAGAATGCCTGATCTGGGCAGTGTGGCCGCTTGGCAAAAGTGTCACGCAGCCTGGGCACACCTGGACTCGACTCAGCGCCCATCACGTACAGACACATCGCCAACTGATGCTAATCAGCTAAAAATTGCGCTATTTTTGGGCACGCTTTGTGCGTGGAATGCGTAGGTTACGCTTTATATGGCCATGATTTATGTTTGGCACATATTCTTCTAGCTATTTGCCTAATTTGTGCAAGTTGTAAATACTTGAGCGCTATTATGCGTGGGTCTCTCCCTTTTGTCCTTGACTGTGGTCAGTTTGTCAAAGTGTCGAGACATGCATATTCACCATTCACCATTCCCAATTGGACTCAATTGAGCGTGCTTTATTATGCAAGATCGTAAAAAGTGACAGGGGGAATAGCTCATCAATCATTTCTATCGGCAGTTTGGAGCACATAAATCAAGCGAGAAAAACCAATTACACCAATCAAAATACAACAGAGTGTATATTTCTAATAGCAGTAACATATATGTACATATTTTAAATATCAATTTATGTACATCAACTATGATTTATGCGGCTACAAAAAAGGCATATCAATAGACGATGCAATCGCCGCCAAGAACAACAACAACAACAACAACAACAATGGCTGCAAATAACCTTCAGCAGCTTTAAATTTTGCGCAATGCCAAAATCAGCGAATTTAACGAAAATCGATTTTCAATTTGCATGTGATTTCTTTTGAAGTGTTTCTCGCGTGCAAATTTATGCAAATTCAACAAAAAGTTTTGATGCTGAATGAGGTGCTTTACGTGCTGGTGGATCGCCGCGGGCGGGTGTTAGCGTAATGCGGAAAATAAAAACAATGAAGAATCGCAAAATTACACTTCAACAATTTTTTTCGACTGCACGAATTTGTGAAGCGCGTTGAAAGCAAAGAACTAAAACACGATGCTGACAAAAGGAGTGTGGTGGGAAGGGGGAGTCAGAAAGAGAGAGAGAGAGAGAGAGCTGAACTAAGTCATTTGCCTGTGAATGA